CACACACAAGAATATTATTTAGCCATAAAAATAAAATAATGCCATTTGCAGCAACATGGATGGACCTAGAGAGTATTACGGTAAGTGAAGTCAATCACAAAGAGAAAGACAAATAAGCTGTGATATCACTTGTATGTGGAATCTAAAAAAGTGATGCAAATGAACTTATTTACAAAAGTAAAATAGACTCACAGACATAGAAAACAAACGTTTGATTACCAAAGGGGAAAATGGGGGAGGGACAAATTAGGACTTTGAGATTAGCAGATAGAAACTACTGTTTATAAAAATAGATAAACAGGTTCCTACTGTATAGCACAGGAAAGTATATTCAGTATCCTACAATAAACCATAAAGGAAAAGAATATGAAATTCAGTTTTTTCTATAACTGAATCACTGTACTGTACATCAGAAACAAAGAAGCACTGTAAATCAACTATACTTCAAAAAAAGTAAAAAAAAAATAAGCTTCACAATTTGCAGGTGTAAAGAGCAGGGATTATAAACTTCAGTGGAAGTACCGATAGGACAGTGAAGGAGCGAGACAGGCATGATGTGCTTGTGTGATTTCGGGTGATTTTTGACACACAGTTCCTTCATTTTTGTTATTGAAGTACAGTCAGGTTATATACTGTTATGTCAGTTTCTGGCGTACAGTGTAATATTTCAGCCATGCACACACACAGATTTCCCTTTTGGTATTCTTTTTCATTGTAGGCTATTACAAGATACTGCATATAGTTCCTTGTGCTATACAATTATCAACTTGTTATTTAAGTTCCTTCATTTTTACAAGTTTTTTTTTTAACCTTTATTTTCAGTTAGACAACTGTGTCAGCAGTTGGGGTAGAGGGATGGGCGTGGTGTATGTTCATTGCACGGTGGGTCCCCACCGGTGCAGCCACAGTGGGTCCGAAGGCGTTTGGGTGGCTGTGGAAGGAGTTTGCAGAGAGACCGGCAGTCCCTGGGAGTGTCAAGGGGACGCATTGCATGAAGGGTCCTCACAAACCTTTGTCATAGACATATTCTTCTGTTTCATTTTAAACAAATTAGATGCTGACTAAACAGTAAACCTACTTTAGAATAATTAAATACCAATTTTATGTTGGGTTTATCTTACTATATTTTAACCTTGTGAATTGGTGTTTCACAACAACCAGAATTGAGTTGTTACAGAAAGTGATTTTTCTATGACAGTCTTAACTTTAAAACTGATCTTGAACCTGAAGTGGAAAGGGAGGGATTTGGCTCACGTATTTTCTGCAGGTCTGCATCGGTTCTTACTATGCAGTTCTGCCTTGGGGAGTTGGAAAAAGTTGGTAGAATTATCTTGAGGAGACGTTTCCCTGAACAGCTTTGTAACCTTTCCCCTCCATGTCAGTGCAAGTAGAAGCCCCAGGAGACACCGGGGAGATGCGTGAGTGTTTAAAGAAGAAATGTTACCCACAATTTCAGCAGCAGAGGCTTCTGCTGTCGGTGCTTGTGTGTGCTGGAGACAGGACTTTGTGCAGTGTTCTTGCAACATTGTGTGTGGCGTCAGCACCTCCCCACAGCGTTAAACATGACCCAGAATTTTATTGATAAAGACATGATTCCTGACACTAAGTCAGTTGTCTGTTATTCACCTACTTCCCTATTATTTTAGAGTTCCTTTTTTCCCACTATATTTGAATTTTTTAAAAAAGGGTAAATGATGTATAATGTGCGTGATGCATCAAAAAATAAGATGAATTAATGGCTAGACTGAATGAGTAAGTTGGACGAGATATGTCTGTTAAGCCTGTGTGTTAGAGCTCTGCTGGCAGTCTGCCTCGGAAACGTGGACTGGGGTGGGGGGGGCGCTTTGCCTGTCCGTGGCCCCGAGGTTCCCCTCTCCTGACTGTAAAAGCACCTGTCTTCCCTGAGCCCGGGTCGTAGAATAAGTGGTACTGGTGAGAATTTGGGGCTGCGGTGAAAAATACATTATTTCTCTCTCTTATGAATACCCAGATTCATCAAATCTTTGTAATAGCCTTTTTTAAAAACAGCTTTATTAAGATATAATTTACCTACCATAAAATTCATTCATTAAAGGTGTACAATTCAGTGTTTTTAGTATATGTAATAAAATTTTGAAAACAAGTGATTTCAACAGGAAATAAATGCTTATTTTTAAGAGATTATATTGATTAACTTTTACTATATGCCAAGCACTGTTCTGAACACCTTTTTTTTTGTATGGAAACATTTAATCTTCATAACAATCCCATGAAATAAGTGCCATTGTTTCCATTTTACAGAAGAAGTTACTGAAGCATAGAGAGGTTAGGTAACTCGCCCAGAATCACACTGCCTGTAAGCGGCAGAGCTGAGGTTCAGACTCGGGCGCGCTGGGTCTGGAGGCCGCTCCTCAGCTGCAGGTGGCACTGCCTGCAGTAGATGGTACTGACACGTTGTGATGTTGTACCTGAAGGAGACGTTTACAAAATGTCTCACCTGCATGCAGAGAGCCGAATTTCCATCCTGAAGTGAATTATTTAAGAACACATTTATTCTTAAACTTTAGAGATTTTGTATGTTCCGAAATCATGTTTTAAAACATGGCTACTTTTGATCTATTTTGTAAGTAAAAACTCCTGTACTATGATTCTAAAATGTTTGTATCTTTGTTTCACTTTTGACATGTTCTTTAAAAAGTTATTTTTTTCTTGTATTGTTTCTCCATTTCAAGTCCTGGTGATGTAACTGAAACTCAGCCTCATGGTTTTATTGCATTTCAGATTTACTCACTGCCTCCGCCTTAAACTCTGAGATGCGCCGCTGCAGGTCTTGAATCTTCTCCCTTCCTTGTCCCCCCTGTGTATTCCTAACAGCTGAATTATTTTCTTTTTATTGTTTGTTTTCTTTTTTCAGCAATGCGGCCACTTAGCATGTCTTACAGTTTTGACTTGTCAGGTAAAAAAAAAAAGCACTGTCACACCTGACGTGGGTTTTGTGGTTTTGTGAAACACATTTCATGCGTCTGCTTGTTCAAACATGTCAAAAAAGAAAATTGAAAGGCTCTAGGCTGTGGTCAGTCAAATAAAACATTCTGCTCCTTTGGAAATAATCTTCCTGAGGAAAACGCAAACCCCAGTCACTCGGTTGCCTCCCGGGGGCTGTAGTCACGGGACGTGTGCCCTCCTGCGGGCACCTCGCTCACCCGCACACTCGTGAGGCCACGCCGGCGAGTCCAGCAGCTCTGCCTTTGGCGCATACCCAGCGATTACAAGAAACAGTTTTGACACTTCTCTCTCAAGCGCTCAGCGTTTAAGTAGCTGAACGCAAAGCTGTCAGCTGCTTCAGAGTGCCGCTGCTCCTCAGCTGGAGGGCAGGAGCTGTCTTCTGTCCCCCAGTCTCCACGGTCCCAGAGCCTGTCCCGGGTGGTTCCGTGAGCTGGAAGGAGTCTCACAGCACGCGAGCGTTGTGATGGCTTTGGCTGTAAGATACAGTTATGTGTCCAGGGTTTGTAGGACAAGTTTAGACCCCTTTTGTTAAATAGCGGGGATTAATAGTGAAACAAGTAGCTCTTAATGACTAAGTTTGATCTGTAATGTCAGCCTCCTTTTTAACTTGAGTTTTTAAACTGTATATGTGTGTATTTTCAAAGTCAACTTAATCCCAATAAAATATATTGCAAGGTGGAATTTTTATTTTTGGAAGTTGCTATTTTGAATGTAAAATGAGATACAGTGTTGGCACCAATACTTCCTTCCAGAACATTCTTTTACATGCCATGGAACTGTTGGCATGCCTTTATACAAATTCATATTTAAAGAGCCAGAGAATTCTAGTATCATGTTCTGTCTGTGAATATTTACTGAGTATCTTCCAACTACTACACTAGTTCCCAACTCCATTTTTTAAAAATTTCAGTTTATATTTGTAGTCAGGCATGACTAATATTTGCACTTTCAAGAAACTCAGATAAGTATTTGAGTCTTCACTTACTACTTTTGACTGACCACTGAAGGGCCTTTTCTATTCTCTTTATCCATTTGACGATTTTTATGTTGTCAACCATTTGCAGAGTGATATTGTGGAAAGAAAAAAAAGTTGATCTGGAAAATAAGCTCAGAAATGTTTTAGAGCACACGTGTCACCGCTGACCTGCAGAGCTGGCAGCACGTGCTCCAGATGGTCTCTCTCCTGAGTCCCTGTGAGAGGTGTTCCTCCCAGGCGGACCGCGGAGGGGCGGCTGGCTGCCTGCACACTGACTGCTGGCCGACGAGACTCGGGCACAGGGGTGGCTTAGACAGCGTGGCCCCCACACACGCTGCGTGTGCAGCTGTACCTTGTGCCTTAGCGCTTCTTGTGTCGGGAAGAAGGCTCTTGGTGCTTAGCCTCCTTGACGTAAAAGAGAAGCCAAAAAGTTTTGCTTTTCCTGCTTATCATTTGCCATAGTTGATTTTGTACCTTAGTCCACTTGGGCTACTTTCATGTTTTCATTGTTGCATTTTGACCAATCAATTTAAATGTCCCAGATTATCAACGGAAAGATTGATCCATTCTTCTAACCTAAATGCAGAGACTGGAATGCATTTCTTCTCCAAGCTGAGAAATTAGCAAACTGAGAAGTAAATATTTAAACATGTAGTATAGAAAATGCCTCTGAACTTAAGTATAAAGTAAGATGTGTGTGTTCTGCTTCAGATATGTTTAGGCAATATTAATTCTTAATACTATTCAACAATAATTACGGTGAGTATAATTCATTTTTCCAATGCAGATACCAAATATATAATCTGCATCCAGTCATATTTCCTCCAACTAAATAAAGCAGCAGCTGCGTCTGTCTGACACACAATTACTAGACTGTGTAATGACAGGAGTTATTACATAAAGTATTTAATATCATGGTTCTGCAGTTGAGATTCTAAACATGAGGTGCATGACCTCTAAAGCTATATGTAGCTTCTTAAATATTTTGCTTACTTGTAATTCCATCACCAGAAATTCTATGGTGTGGTTTCCTCACTGAATACATTGAAGTAATAATGATTTATTCATTTGAACAGAAAAGTATAAGTAATCAAACTACTTAAAAATATGTTCAGCTGGCCTTTTACAAATACGTAGTATGAGGTCAGATCACACGTGGCGGTTAGCTTCACACGTGGAGATCGTTCTGAAACCTGAGTGTGACGTAACATCTTCCCACCAGCCCCGTCTGTCCCGGAGCTTGGACTTAGGGCTGGGTGCTTATTCGAGCAGTGGCAGCCGGTGAGCTCAGGTGCGCAGGTCCCCCTCCACACAGTGGGGGGCATTTAGAGAGCCGGTAGGTGATTTCTCAGACCCCCGCCCGAGCATGAGGCCGTCTCGCAGCGGCCGCTGTCCCCTCACAGTGTCCCCTGGACATCAGTGGAGATGACGCCCTCGTGATTTTTACCAGCCTTGAGTGCCATGGGTACCATTTAAACTTTTAAATCTGCCGTAAGTGTCTTTTAAACATTTCTTAAGCAAAGACATCCATAAAATCATGTGTCTGATACCGTAATTACATGTTTCCTGAGACGTCACAGTGAGTATGCAGCCACCGAAGCCGTGTCAGTGTCCTGCACATGCCACTGGCAGCCTCGCCCTCAGGGCCGCTCTGCCTGCTGGGTGGGAGCTCGTGCCGCTCGGGTGGAAGGCGCGTGTCTTCACGAGGGCGGCTCTGGTTCTGGTTCCTCCACTCTGTGCTTCCTTGTGGAAGACTCACTGCTACCAGGACGTGAGCTTCAGTCTTCAGTAGGAAGTGCAGAAAATGAGGTACACTGCAGACTGAGGCTTTTCAAAGTATACTTCCAGACCGTGTTTAAACATTAGCTTTTTCTTTAGTAGGAATGAACCAGTTAGCCCAACCGTTTCCTCCTCTGCTTTTTGGAAAATTTACTCTCTTAGGTGTGGCAGCCTCCTGCTCTGCACACCTCCTTATGAAGGATTTATTTAAAGATTTTAGCCTTTATAATTTGTGTAAAAACTTGCTGCTTTTGCCCTTCTGTCCCCTTCAGCACACCCTCTCCCCCGTTGTATACTTGTTCCACCTCCTTAATACCTGGAAAGGTGATAACAAAATTAACTCCTGTGCTGTCAAGTTTTCTACTAAAAATAGTATGAAAGACAAGTCTTCTCCCTTCTTCCTTCCCTCCTTTCCTGCTTCCTCAGACCTTCTCTTCTGGTTCACAAGGCCGATTCGGGTTCTGGCCTTCTTGATGTCTAAAAATAAGCAGAATTGGTAAATATTAGGAGTTACATATGTGTCATTTATAATAATTTACGTAATTCTTTTAAATAATGTCAAAGAAGACTGGACTAGAACACGGTTTCATTCTGAATGTTTCCTGGAAGTCCTGTGCGTCATGTTGGGGGAACAGTGACAGACAGAACCCGCCTGCGTTTGACAGCGACTTGGGTGCAGTGCCTCCCCCCGGAAGGAGCCCTCGCCCGACTTCTCACTCGCTGCTCCGTATCCCCTTCTCCCTGGTGAACGACAGGGCTTTCTCGGCCTGCTCCAGGGACAGAGACCAGTTCATGTGCTGGTCTGTGCGTTAAATTATGCCGTGGCTACTTTTGTCACTTTTAAGTAGTCTACTTCAGTAGTTAGATATTGAAATTATTATGTTTCTGAAATGCTGAGGAAAGTGAGTTCCACTTGCACGGGAAGACGACGGGCTGCAGCGCTGCAGAAGGGGCCTCCAGCGCCAGGCCTGCCACGCTGCCAAGCCTTCTCTTCCTCACAGAGGGTGGCAGAAGTCGGAGTTAGTGGTCGCCAGCCCTGACTGCACCGGCACTCAGAGCTGGTGTGTGACTGTCAGCCTGCTGACTCCTCACAGCAGGCCCACGACTGTGCGAGCCCCGTTTTACAGACAAGGAGATGGCATGTAGCTTGGCTCAGGGTGAGACAGCCAGCAGCAGAGCTAGACTGTGAATCCAAACCGTCTGCACATTGCTGTGTGCCGGACACGCTGACCTCTCTGCAGTGGGCTCTGTGCTCTGAGCTGGCACACGGTGCCGCGTGCTCTGTGCTCTGTGCTCTGTGCGTTGCGCACTGTGTTCTCTGTACCCTGTCCTCTAGAGCTAGACGCCATGCCCTGCACTCGGCGCTGCCACATTCCTTTCACTGCCTTCCCATCCATACTTGAGCTGTTTGTAACTAGATCAGCTTTATCAGAGGGAATGTAGCCCAGACTCTTCGTGTCCATGTTCATATGTGTATAGAGTATTAGCTATTTTTATTTTTAAATCAAACCGTTTTCAGATCTTACAGCCGTATCTTCATAAGGCTTAGTGCACGCCCTCGCTGTGAGCCGCTGATCACTAGCTCTTTAGAGGCTGAGAAGTGAAGCTGGCTTCTCTGGGCCTCTGGAGAATAAAGAGGTGGGAGTCCGTTACCAATGGGGTTTCTTCCAGCTCTAAATTTTAATCTATAAATGTGAACATACAGTTACTCATTTGAAGGTTTTGCTCAAACCTGACATAATCTAATAGAAGTGTTTTGTATGCGTAGGCGGGATGGTGTCTGTCCTCTGTGTTGTATTTGTTCGACGTAGAAATGCCAGGTCCCCTTGGGTGTGGTTCCAAGTGCAGGTACTCGGAAAAGTACATTTGGTCCACTGATTACCTTTCTGGGCTCAAGAAAGGGTAAGCTCTCACCTTTGTTTTACCAGATGTAACTACCCCTGAATGTCCAAAGAATGCTGTGGAATCATCAATGGTGAATGGAGGCGTAACGTCACAATCAAAAGAAGGTGGGTCGGGTGCCCGGCAGCAGGTTCCTGTGCAGCGGAAGAAGCTCCTCAAAGCTCCAACGCTGGCGGAGCTGGACAGCTCTGACTCCGAGGTGAGGCCCGCCAGGCCCCGCGCGCCTGGACCCCAGGCTCAGGGTGCGGGCGCCCTCTGGCCTGGTTTACTAGTCTTGGTGCTCCATCTCTTCTCTCGCTCCCATTTTAAAGTCAGTAAACTTAGGGCTGAAATTGACTTGTTTGGCAGGAAATGAAACAGTGGATTACTCACTGTTACTTAATAAAGGCCAGTGTAGTGACTATAGTTTAAAAAATAGATTATGAACTCTGTATATTCTTAGATTGTAGTGGGGTTGAAGTAAGTCAGCAACTTTCAGACCTGTATTATCCTAAATACCTTTCCCTTTGTTTAGGTGAAGGAAAAAGAAGAAATGTATTTCTATGGAGCTTTCCCTCTCTCAACACACCCCACCCCCACCCCCACATCCCCCCATCCTAAAGCTTTTTCTTTCTGTAACGCAACAGACAAGCCTCTGAAAAGAACACTGTGCTGTGTTCCCACAGGGCCTTCCATGACCCCTAATCCAGCAGTATCGGTAATAACAGGTTTGCTGCTGAACGTCTTTTGAATGTTGAAAATAATAAAGAAATGCCCCCGTCGCTGCCCGACTTCAGTGCGTGCTCGCTCTCGTCTGTCATATCTCACCTATCTTCCTAGCTTCCCCAGTTCCGTCTTGCAGATACCACCAGAGTCTTTGTCACTCCTCCTTGGAACCTTTTGAAGGCTCCCTGCCACTTACAGGATTAAGTTCATATCCCCTAAGAAGCGTCAGAGCTGTGCACTCCAGGGCCTGCAACCCTACTCCGTGCCTCGGTTTACCCTGCAGCCCTACTTGGCCCCTGTTCTTTCCTGTTCAGCCCTCATTCCTCCGCTCTGTGCATCTGCGTCTGCAGCCTGCCCAGCCCAGCTCTGCTTTTCCCCGACACCAGTGACCCAGCAAGACTCTTCCTCTGTGATGCCATCATAACCTTCCCATTGGCCTGTTATGTTAGAGCGCGTGACCCTTTATAATAGAATTATCCACTCATCAGATAATAAATAGTAGTAGTTAAGTAGTAAGCATTAACTACAAGCTTGAGTTGCTGTCTTTTAAAAGTTTCTAGCTGTTAAACTGGGCTAATAGCAGTGACCCAGAGACCGTGCACCCTGCTTCAGGCCGTGGGGGGTGAGCTGGCGCTGCTCGTGTTTCTTACTGAACAAAATAGCATGAGCATTTTCCAATCTGATTAGTCCTTTTCCAGCGTGATGCCTAGTATTTGTGTGGTCTTCCATCATCATAATCTGCCATCTGTATTTAACCAGCCCCCCATTTTTGAACATTTAGGCTGTTCCCAGCTTTCTGTTACTCTAACAGTAGCGTTGTGAACATCCTTATGACACGTTTGTGCTTCGAATTATTCTTCAGAATATTTCTGGAAGAGTGTTGGCTAGGGGAGAGAATGTACACTTTTACAGATTTTGATACATGTTGCCAAGTTCCTCAAAGAAAGCTGTAGTGCCTACTTTTTATTGTGCTTACTGTGCTGAGCTCTAGGTGTTACAAGTTCATGTCTTCGCAAAGACCCTGGAAGCAGCTGTGCCCCTTTCATATAAAAGATAAGGAAACAGACGCACCGAAGGGCTTTATCTTTGAACTTTGACTGTTAAAGAGCTAGCAAAGCACACAGTCGGATTTGAACCCCAAGCCTAACCTCAAAGCCTGCGTGTCTCATAAACTTGCTAGTACTCCACGAGCAGCAGTGGAGAGTGCCTGAGTTAAAATAGTTTACACTGGAGGGGGCCTTTGAAATCCTGTTCAGCATCATTACTTTTCGGTGAGAACACGAGCCCCTGGCAGAGAGAGAGACCTTAAAACCTCCCGGTAGCAGGGTCCCTGCGGAACGAGACCTCCCGACACCAGACATTTTTCCATCTTTTTTCCCTCTTCCTAGAACTTTAATTTCACTGCTTCTTGCTTACCTTCAGTAACCTCTGCTAGCCTATCCCAGGTAACAGTTTTGAACATCGAGATAAGCTTTGATTGGAGCCATATGAAAGCTCTCGGTCAGAAGGCTGAGCAGATGAGCTGTGGCTGAGCCTCCACTGGGCTTCGTTTTGGGAAAAGGAGGCTTTCCTTCCTGTTACGTGAGTGAGGTGCCCAGGCTGTGTCTGAGGTGATGCTGGCAGCCCTCAGTGACGGTGCCGCCCTGGGAGCAAAGCCACGGGACTGCTGACGGCGACCTCTGTGCAGCCCGGACCTGGTTAAGAGTCACTGGTCAGGACAGAACTAGAAAAGGCCTAACTTAGTGAGTGTCAGAGATTAGTAACTGGGATCAGACAATACAAACAAGCATATTTCTACAGCCAGGCTGTGGAAACGGATGTTCCAGAGATGTCAGAGCCCCATCAAAGCCCCTCAGCCAGGAAGGCAATGTCTGGTCACTGGGAGGAGACGTGGCAGGCAAGGTCCCTTCGCTCCCTTCTGGGTGTCTCCGACTCCTCTGGGCCAGGAACTGAGCTTGAAAGTGGATACAGCTCTCTGAGGGGGGCATGCAGGGATGGGGGACCATCGACAGCTTCTGGGAGCAAGCCCCGGGAGGCCCTGAGCCGCATCCCTGCCCCACAGCGGCCCCATCCCCACGGCGGCGCTGCACACTGACCTGCGTCTGCCCTGCCTGCCCAGGACAGGTGCTTGGCTGTTCTCTGTGGGAGCAGCTCAGACCAGTAAGGAGGAGTGGAGTGCAAGGTGTGGGCAGGTCTCGGGCTTATGTGAAGTTCAGCTGTGAAAATGAGTGTGAGCAGGTGGGCTGAAGAACATGATGGGGGAGTGGTTTGCATCAGGGAAGCACCCGCTTCGTAATCACCGGCAAGTCCTGGGTGTGACTTCTTTTCCTGTTCCTACAAGACATGCTTGGCCTCTGTGTCCTTCTGACCTTCTGTAAGCAGAAGGGTGTCGTGCTAGCTCTCGCTGGCTTTTCTCGTGACTGTGTGGCCTGAAGCATGTCTGGGGTGAGGCTTTGTGTACACTGCGTGGTTGGTTCTCGTGGTGAGAACCAAGAGTGCGGGGACCTTCCCTGCCTGCACTGTGTGGTTCACATGGCCTTCCTTCTTCCCCTGTTCCTTGGCCAGATCCGTTGTCGTGAAGCTTGTTTGAAATTAATGCTTTCAGCAGTATGTTATAGTTGAGGCCAGTTTTTAGTGAATGGCTAGTTCCTGAAGTTGCCTTACCTAAGTATGTCAGAGAATTTTCACTAACAGTTTATCTCACATAGTCATAGATTAATATATTAACCTAATTTTTTTCTTCTATATTTAAAAATATTTAGCAGTGTTCTATAGATATCGTGGAAGTAAGTTGTCCTCTGTTTAGTGTGTGTCCCTATCATGTGTAAATAGTAAGTTTTTCATGAATAAATACTGTGCTTCATTTTGGTGTAACCTAAAGCAAATTAAGATCTCTTCTCACTGGTAATAGGAATTTACATTTTCTTTCGTACAAGACAGACATTTTTCTAGACTCATAACCCATTTCATGAAATGTTTATTCTCATCCATTCATTCAGCTAATACTTACTCATTTCTTGTAAGTCACGTGTTTGGTACTAGGCAGCAACAATAAGCAAGACACACTGCATGTACCTAGTTGTTTCCCAGTCTGTTACTTTCATACGTGTGTGAAATACTCCACTAACAATTTAATCACCGTTTACTGTGTGCCAGGTAATGTGTTAAGCATTCTAAATGTATTATCGGATCTATCCTTGTAACAACCCTGTGGAAATCATGAAACTAAGATGACAAACTTGCCCAGTGTCACGTCACTCTAATAAGGGACGAAGCCAGGACACAAACCCAGATGTGTCTGATTTTAGAAACCTTCTAGTTTGTCTCTAGCTTGGCTTGAACCTTTGACGTGACAGTTCAGTGCCTCGTGTTAAAATGCACGTCTGCCAGTAAGCGTGAGCAGGTAGCAGGAGAGCACTGGTGTCTGAGGACGCTCTGCCTGTGCCGTTCTCAGGAGGAAGCCCTGCCCCGGTCGGCCAGCAGCAGCGGCGCGTCTCCCCACTTCCCGGAGGGCCCATTCCTGGAGGCTGTGTCCATGAGAAAGGGTGAGTGTGCCAGGCACCTTACAACACACGTCTGACCTGAAGCAGGAACCCCAAAGCGCCTCCTGATGATTTGGGGTGACTCGTTAATCACAGAACTAGCCCTGGGATTTCACTAGTCAGGAGCAGAAATTTTCGGTTATTTTCCTACAGTGACCTCAGAAGGTGGGGCTAGACTGGTGACCGTGTCCCAAATTCTCAACTTATAATAAATCAGTCACCTTTGGATTTACAAGTAATAGTTGTAGGGAACATGTCAACTGTGTGTAGTTGTTAGATTAATTAGCTCCTTATCTGATTTAAGCCGGAAGCCCTAAATAATCAGATTTGTTATCAGCCCCCGCCCCCCACATATCCTCACCCACACATGTGTAGATAGTAGAAACACCTTTATAAGTCTTGAGACAATAGGTTCTGAACACAGAATCTAAAGGTAAGTGATTTCTTAAAATACTGTAAGTAATCTTTTCATTTATGAGATTATTACAAAGGATTAAAAATTGCATATTAAGGGGGAGGATCCTGGGAAGAAGGCAGAGTAGGAGCACCAGAAATTGGTCTTTGAACTTAGACAGTGCTGTCTAACTGTGCTGGCAGAGTCTATCTGATGGAACGATTTTTGCAACTCGTGAGTCTGTTGAATGTTTACAACTTTCAGGGGAGACTTGGATGCTAAATTGTGGTTCGTTTCAGTAGATTTCAGCTCTTAGCTCAGTGGCGGCTACATCACCCCGCCAGCCACACACCAGCGCTGTGGCTGTTCTTGGAACAGCCTGCATGCAGCCTGCAGGGGCCGGGCCGGGCCGGGCCAGGAGGAGCCTGTCCTCTGGGCCCTGAGGGCCGATGACCGCGCCTGGTTGCAGAGGCGCAGGCAGAGGCTGGCAGGCGTTGTTGTTGCACTGCCACCAGCCCCAGCCTCTCCCCCAACCCCTTACCTTTTCACTTCTCCCCTTTTGGAGAGCAACAACACAAGAACATTCAAAAGATGGCTGCACCTACAGGCAAAGTTAGACAGGGACTCTGAGTGCCTGGGGGCGGCTCCTGAAAGACCCGAGGAGGTGCTGGGTTGCCCCTCAAGCTGATGTTCAGCACAGAAACGGCCTGCGACAGTTACAGAAGACAACGGAAGACGGCAAGCCCTGGGGGAGGGGGAGCGTAGGACTTCCAGAGTTAACGCAGCGTGAGATTCCAGTGTCCGGTGTTCAGCGCACAAGCATGAGGCATATAAAGCAATGGGAAAGCAGGGCCCACGCAGAAGGAAAAGTAAGTAACCAGGACCCGTCCCAGAAAAGGCCTGATGATAGACACAGTAGACAGACATTAAAACAGCCGTTTTATTAAAGCATAGTATTTTACACCAACTACAGTTCAGTTTTAAAGAAAGAACTGCTTAGGAAGTAAGCACGAGAGTGAAGTCCTTGCTCACCGAAAACCGCAGAACGTCGCGGAAGGAAACAAAGGAGGCGGACAGCTGGGAGCACATCTCATGTGCACGGATTGAGTGCCTCAGTGTTGAAATGTCAGCACTGCCCAAAGCGCTCTGCAGGTTTAGTGCAGTCCCTGTTCCAGTACCAGTGGCACTGTTTGCAGAAGTAGGAAGACCCATCCTAAATTCACACGGAATCTCAAGGGACTCTGAATATCCAAAGCAGTCTTGAAAAAGAACAGAGCTGGGGGACTCACACTCCCTGGTCTCAAACCTTACTACCAAGCTGCAGCCATCAGAGCAGCACGGTGCTGGCGGAGGACGGACACACAGGTCAGTGGAATAGAATGCAGAGCCCAGAGTAAACCCTCACGAAACAGACGGTTTCCCACAGGTGTGCCAGGGCTGTTCGGTGCAGAAGGAACGGTCTTCTCAGCAGTTGGCCCTGGGAAAGCTGGGTGCCTGCATGCGAAAGAGTGAAGGGAGACCCTCACCTTGCACTGTGTACCAGAACTGACTCAGAGTCAACCGAGGACCTGAGTAAGATCTACAGTAATAAAACTCCTAGAAGAAAACAGGACAAAAGCTTCACGACACTGGATTTGGCAGTGGTTTCTTGGATGTGACACCGGAGGCACAGATAACAGAAGAAAAACTGGACAAATTGAAGTTCCTGAAGAGTAAGAACTCAGTGCATACAAAGACACGGTCAGCAGAGAAGAAGAGCAACCCACAGAACAGGAGAAAACACTTGCAAATCACATCTGCTGAGGCGTTTATAACCACGACAGAGAGAGAAACTGTAGGAGCCGACCTTCGCTGTTACCTGTAATTGGTACCGGACCAAGCCCATTAAATTTATAGAGACAGTCAAGACACATGGTAGATTTCTGTACCTGTTCTTGATCATGGAAGTTGTGCCCTTTGTTTCCCCTCAGTGATCTCTAGCTAGGACAGTCCCGGTAGGAGGGTCACCTCTTACCTCTGTGCTTTCACTGTTCTCGCCCGCGGCACTGAAGCAGCCTGACCAAGCGCTGAGCAGAACTCTGACAGCACAGTTTACTCCCGATGTCCCCCTCATGCTTCAGAGTGTGAATCGTACCTGGACACTCTCCTTTAAACCCTGTTCCAGACTGTTACTAGGCAGAGGGGCACTGGTAGACTATTAAAACATCAAATCTGGAATTCGATTTTTGAAATTTAAATACAGCCTAATTTAAACCTAGGGATAAAATGTCTTGATCCACATCAAGAAGGAAGAGGTTTCCTATTTTATTTTAAAAAGGAGAATGTAAGCGGAGGGTGCACTTGAGAATTTGGGTGTGAGTCTGTAATTTTTACATGGTTTTAAAATAAAGCTCAAGATCTATTCCTTGAAATTTTTTTGTCCTTAAAATTGTTGAATACAAGGCTTTTGCTACCCCCTAATTTTTTTAATTTAAAAATTTTAAAATAAAGCCTGAGACTCTTCAACTGCAAAATTTTGTGGAAAATAGCATGTGACTTGTATGTACAAACCCGAGACCGTATTTATATTGTATTCTATGCATGAATTTGAATGAATATTAAAAACAGTTCTTTTCCTTTCGCCTTGCTATTTCTGCAGCAAGATTGTCTTACAAAGATTCTTCTATAACAGTCCTTACACTGTCCCTCTAAGGGCCTGGACCCCAATATACCTCTCCAACGAAACAAACACCTAATTTTTGAATGCAGTGTTTGTCACAGGTGACAAAGGGTTTTCTGTTAGCAATGTGAAATCTAAGGTTTTTGTTGTAGGAGTTGATTTCAGTTTGGTTAATTGCATTTCCTTAGCCCCTCCACAGTTCTTGCCCATGTCCTCCACGCCCCAGCCGGAGAGACGGCAGCCACCCCAGAGACGACACTCCATTGAAAAGGAGACGCCTACCAGTGTGAGGCAGTTCCTGCCTCCGTCCAGGCAGAGCTCCCGCTCGCTCGTAAGTAACGGACTCACGGACACTGCATGGTAGCTTGCCATCAGTTAGAGGGTCTTGAACCGTTAGCTTTCTTGAGAAGCTTCCAAGAGCTGCAGTGAACTTAAACAACCTTACTGATTTCTAATAGCCAAAGAAAACCAACCCTAACCGTAGCCCAAATGAAATCTGGCCGTCATTTGTTTGTTCAAGGTACTTTTCCCCCAGAGACTTATTAACGGTTAAAAGTATGGATCTTTATTAAAGGAAGGCTTTCTTCCTTTCAGAAACTAAGCAAAAAACTTAGCCAAGTCTGACGACACTAGACTCTTTAGTTGGAGCAGAAGTACAAAGGGGAGAACTTTGATCCGTGAAAATCCTTTGCTCATTGTTTCCAAGTGCATTTTATGATCCTGGAGCCAAAGCTTCTGTTTGGATGGGTTGACGGTTTTTGCTGTTTTCCAGAGACTTCCGGGTTCATGTGGTGGCTACTCATTCCTCAGACAGTGGGCTGTAGTGCCGAGACCCTTCCAGGAGGAAGGGCTGCATTTACCAGCCAGAGGAAGTCTGCAGAGATTCCTTTTGTCCCACTTGACTTCCAGTATGTTTGTAGGCGAGATGTAAGGCCTCCGTCAGTAACTCTGCCGGCAGCCAGCCCAGTGTCTAACGTTACTTCAGACACTCAGGAGTGAAATGCTGGACTGCGTGTGGCCGACTTGTTCAGGCTGCAGTGATGCAGCAGGGACTCGGTGGCGCAGTAACAGGGTCCTCCCTCCAGGCACAGGGAGGTGGCGTGGAGGGACGGGTTCGAGCTGAGCTCGCAGTGTTGAAGTGTGACCAGTCGTCTCTACCTCCAGATAATGCCACCAAAGGGCTCATGATTTTGTAGCAGTTCCTATCGGATTTCTCCAACCCCTAAGTAATCACCAAATCCTGATACATGTTGAATTACAGCTGAAAAACAGAACTCTCACCAGAGAGGTTCAAAACTTTGAAATCCAAAGGTTTTTGTTAGTGTGAGTAAGTTTATTTGTAGAATACAGTTATTGTCACAACTTAAAAAGATGTCAGAGGGAGCTTTTTTATGACTTTTTCCCACAGGTCCGGTGCTTAGGACATTGTTTTCTTCACACAGCTTCCCCTGACAGTCGGTTAGCGTTCAGCTGTGTGCCGGGCCTTGTGATCACGTGACATCGTTGTTGAGACTAGACTTAAATGAAATTTTAAAATTATCAGTGTGAAGAAACTGTCAGATCAACTGCAGGAGCTTTTGGCTTGTGAATAGAAGCGTTACCCAGGAAGGACCCCCCCCACACATCGGGCTCGCGTGGTGTCCTTCCTGGTGAGGGGAGCGCAGGGGGTGCTCGGTCAGGATGTGAGTTGTTTTTGTGGAGGAGGAGAGCGAGATAAAACCAGTGTGCATTCACTGAGCGGGTCTCAGTAGGGCCTGTGGTCAGTGCTGGGGGCTCCGGATCCACGCAGGACCAGGCCCCCTGCAGTGCCTCCAGGTGGAAGTCAGGACTTGTCTTGCCAGACTTCTCTTGGGGATCCATAAAGTCACTACTTTCCTGGTGGTGCCCTCTAGCTTGGTAAGTATTGTTTTTAAAAGTATGATCGTTTAAAATGTTATCTGTACTTTAGAAAACATGGAATCACTTTGTATTTATAACCCCGCCACTAAAAATGGCAGAAATGTCTTTGTAATTCCTCATTGCATTTTTATTGTATGTCCCTCCCTTTCCTTCAGATGTTGAAAGTGCAGTTTTTTTCAGCATTTGGTCAAATGGTTGAGGGTGCTCTCCATCGAGTGAGGACGGCTTGTCTTTAAGGACCTTCTGGGGCGGGGGCGGGGGCAGCTGCTTGGTGTACACCCCCTCGCTTTCTGCGGTTGCCTCACCCTGCGCCCCAGCGAGCCCCGTGTGGGAGACTCAGTGCTCACAGCACAGCCGAGTTACAGAAGTTGGGTCTTTGCTGTGTGAATGCTGAGTCTCTAGGCATGACTTCACGGTCTGATTCCTGATTGATACATGCGGTTGGATACAGACGGACACGCATGTGGAATCTACCGTTCATGTCCTCGTGGTGGTTTTGTTCTGTTTTGTTTTTCTTCCGTGCTCTGTGATCACTGTTGGCAGGTCACTCACGTTGAGCATCATTTTCTCCTTTCTTTTCCCCGCCGTCGTCTTCTCCCTTCTGTGTTGTTCAGGTTCCTGGGGTGACCAGAGCGTGGCCAAGGACGCCTTTCCGACCACTTTTCTCTGCCATACAAACAGCTTCTCTGCTCAGCTCTCATCCTTTGGAGGCAGCCGTGTTGGGGGTAGCAGGGGCTGTGTATTATCTGTGTGAGAGAGCTTTTACCAGCAGGTGGAGATCCGCAAAGGTTGGCCTCTTTCTGCTGGTTCTGGAATCATTTTCCTCTCTCTCTCTTTGGCAGTGATACCTCAGCCGCTGCACTCTGCAAAGATTAACAGCTTAAATGGACACTTGCTTCTGACTGTTGATTCCAATCTTTGGTAGGATGTGTGGGTCACACGTGATCCCGATTGACAGGGCAGTAGCTGAAAGGACAACAAACTCAGAATGCAGCATCGGATTAGAGCGGCCTGATGGAACAGCGGAAGGGGTGCCGTCCCCCGTCAGGGTCAGGGCGTGTCCCCCCAACGCCAGGCCTCCCCACCCTCAGGAGAGCGCGTGCCCGCACACCCAGCTGCCAGGCCTGCGGCCACAGGGGACCCGCTCTCCTCCGGCAGCTTTAAAGCTGTGTTGTGATGGTCAGGATGCTATGTGGTTTTTGTGAAAACCCACTCTGCTTCTCTGTAGAGAGAAATCTGAAGTTGTCTTTTTATTGATGTGGTTATTTACAATACTTTAAAATTCTCATTTAGCATTTTTTTTTGAGATTTTCGTACAGAATATATCTTTTAAAGAAAGCCTCAGTGGAATAAAAAACCCCCGAACTGTACTGAGGCCCCCCTGCCCCGGGGCACGCGCTGCCGCCCCCCAGACCCTCCCAGCACGTGAGCCGGCAGCTGCTTCCCTGGTTCCTCTCTATTGCTGTCCTGGTGTGGAAAAGAGGCTCCGAATGTAAATGAGGCACAACACATTCCATTCTGTTTGCTGTGAAATGCAGGATGAATCTTTATTCTTTTCTCATTTCAGGTCTGGCCACGTGAGCACGTGGTCAGGCACTGGGGTGGCACTTTAACTCCTGCCCCTCCTCCTGCTGTTTCTGAAAATCTGCCAGCATTTTAAATTTAGTTGTCCCCCGTTTGTATATTAAGTCTACATATGACTTAAGACAAAGAATTCACTTTGAGTTTTAAAGTTCAACTTGAAAAAAGAAAATTGTAATTAAATTTAATATTTGCATTTTTATTTGAATCTGCCTTCCTTTTCTTTATTAAAAACTCATGAAAACCAGAAGTTGTTTGGATAATTTTCAGATATCTGCTGTTGATTAATGAAGTTTTTGCTCATTGAGAACTCTGTATAAAATGTGGCTGTTTCCCCTTCTGTGGCTCAGTAACCAGATTGTACATCATGCTCAGGTCTGTGCTGCCTGACTCTGATTCCTTTTGAATGGCAGATATAACCAGAATGTTAACCAAAACTCGGTGATGTTAGTGACACACATAAAAGCAAGCTCTGAAGGCACATCTGCTCCTGTAGCGTATGGTAACCTTTGTTAACACTCTCTAAAATTTAGCTCCCTTTCCTGAACTTGGGAGTCACGTGGACGCACAGAGCAGCCAGAGAGTCAGAGCTGGGCTGCCTGGCCCCTGGAGTCCATGCCCAGCTGAGACGGGGGTGCGCCGGCCCAGTAACGGGGGGGCGGACCCTGCGTGCGCTCGCGTTTGGAGCGTCAGCATCTCAGCAGGACCTGCTGAGGTTTGGTTTGGCTTTGGGGATGCCGAATTAATGTTTTTTGTCAATTGAAAAAATAATGAAAACTATTGTAGTAACTACTTACTACTTTTTTTCATGTTGCATTAAAGCTTTGTTGTCCTTGAGAAAACACCAGAATTAAACATTAGCATTTGACCTGATGGAACATACTTTGTGAAACGGTAATCTGCTTCAGATTTGAAAAAAGAACAAGAGCACAAACAAAAAAAATCCACAGTGTCTTATAACATCCAGTGAAGCCCTGATTTGTGCACGGTTCAAAGCTCTAGGTTGGAAGTGTGCTTTGACTGGGCCCTTTTGTGACGTGCGACCAGGCGAGGGGCTGCAGGCTGCCGGGTTTGTGCTGTGTGCTGGTGCCCCGCCATGGGAGGAAGGGTTCCCGCGGGCTGAAATGCCCACCCGCGCAGGCCTAGGGAGGTGGTCGTGAGCCGTCTCCCTGTGGGCACAGCAGCACCTCTCAGGTGGTGCCCATCTGGTTCCTTGCTGGATCCATACGTAGCCTGTCCCAGCTCAGCCGCTTGTCACACGGTGAGCCATCAGAAGATGCAGCACAGTCCCGCTCGTCACTAGTGGATAAAAATGAGCACAGGGACCCTGCTCGTGGAGCATGTTAGAGGCTGAGAGCAGTCGTTCAGACGTGCACAGCCGACGATGCTGTCGTGCACAGTCAAGTCCAGGGGCGAGCCTCGTTCCCAGTGGACGCCATGCTTCTCTCAGGGTTGAGCCAAGCACAGTAAGTGCTGGACACGTCAGCTTCATCCTATTGTCTTTGAAAGCTCTTCCCATTGAAAGAAAAAACGTTGTGATGGTGGTTCTGTCAAGTGTTTCAGACATCCTGGAGCACACATTATACTCTTCCCGAGCATACTGTCCCCCACCCTCCAAATTATAAGCTTTTCGTCTTAAAAATTCAATTGCAGGACCTTTTCCAAAACATTTTTAGTAAATTTAACATTCCCTAATTCAGCTTGAAGAGAGATGGATTTAAATTGATCATTAGGAAGAAGCAGTAGTTCTGCAGACTACTTTTTTTAGTAAATGCTAATGTTTGTCAAGTTTGCAAGCCAGATTTGTTTTTGTTTTTCTCTGATTGAAAGACAGAACTGAATGTTAAAACTATAAACTGACAGCATTCATAGTCCTGTGCTCTGTCGTTTGGCTTGTGTGACCCCAGAATGCCTGGGAGCAGCGCTGTTGTGTGTGTGGGAGTGAACTGCAGTGTGTGCACCGAGAACACTGGGTTCGTGTCACTCCACCACAGTGGCCCTTGTGACGCCTGGCAGGGTGCAAGCGCCCAGGCCAGTTCTGTCTTTCTGTCGGACACGCCACCAATCAATGCAGGGCCGGGGCGGGGGGCAAGCAGTGGGAGGCTGTTTACTCAGTGGGTCAGTTACACCCGCATCTTCCTCAGCTGTCGTTGGGGAGCCGTTAACCTAGGACAGCCAACCTGAATTTCCCTGTCAAAGTCTCCTGAGCGTCTCCACGTCGCTCCAGTGCTGGCTGTGCGTTCCGCAGCTGCGTTAAGAGGAGTAACAGTCCTGGAGAGTGTGGGCCGGCCTGTAGAGGTTCCCTCCGGCTGCAGACTGCACCAGTAAATACTTCCACGTTCCGGTTCCACTCACACCATCAGGATTTTTCAGGGTGTGCCGATGTAACTTACCACTAAGTAACGCTTCTCAGATCAGTTACTAACCACCTTCTTCGGGCTGCTCTGGGCACCACAGGTCAGTTTTACAAACAGCACCAATATTGTAGATTCGCTGTTTATTATTGGCAGATACATACAACACAGAGATAACGTCTGTGTAGTCGTAGGAGAAACCTGACATAAATCTGGTTTGGAGCAGCAAAATTTTTTCCCACGATTTTGGTGCAGAGACACACGGTTCCCACTTACTGACCTAGAGGTACCTGAGGCAAAATGTCTGAGCAAACGTGAGGAACTTCTACTGATCAGAGATTTCAGTCAGCTCCAGGTTTCACGTGGTCCCCGAAGTTCCCTGTTGTCTGTCGCTGTCTTGGTGAAGTGAGGGGCGATGTGGTCCCCAGAGTGCGCCAGCCCTGCTCGTGGTGGTGGGAACCCTCTTCTCTTCTCTGAAGCTACTAACAGGTGACAGATCTGACGGGAGGTGTCCCCGTGCCGAGGGGGAGTTTCTCGCTCATGTGGAGTCTTGAATTTCAGGAGGAGTTCTGCTACCCGGTGGAGTGCCTGGCGCTCACGGTGGAGGAGGTGATGCACATTCGTCAAGTCCTGGTGAAGGCAGAGCTGGAAAAGTACCAGCAGTACAGGGACATCTACACCGCTCTGAAGAAAGGAAAGGTAGCGTGTCGGCCGTGGGGCCGTGGCCAGTGCAGGCGTGCCCCCTGCGGGCGCTGTCTGCTGGTCGGCGGGGCTGGGCTCTGAGGGGCTCTAGAGGGTGAGAGGCTTACTCTCCGGCAGGCAGGCCCACAAAAGCGAGTATTTTTATTTCTCCCCTGGACAGTGAAAACTAGAAGGCTTAAGCCACCATCATAAATAACGGTATGCCTTCAGGAAGTGTCTTGTTTGCCCTTAGTTGTTACACTGTTAAAGGATTTGTAAAGAAAATGTATTTTGAGAAACAGGAGATTTTTTCAGAACTGCCTTCTGATTGCTTCCATGATGGTGAGACTCGGGTGACTCTACCTGTAAAAGTAGAATTATAACCAAAACCAGAGCCCAATTGTAATTATCACAGAGCCAGACTTAAGAGAAGGGTCTGTAAGTCCTCTCCCTTTGTCTGCTGAACTTCCCCACGTACAACTTGCAGGTCAGGGACTCAGCTGTTGGCCTTGCTTTTCTCTCCTTTTAAACCTGTGTTTTTAGCTCTGCTTTTGTTGCCGAACCAGGAGGTTCTCCTTCTTCACCTGGTCTCACACCTGCCAGTTCTGCAAGAGGTAAGGCCTCCTGTGACGGTGACGGTGGTGCTGCCATCGTGCTGCTGTTCTCACGGGGACGGTGTTGGGAACGGGCCAGTCTGTCACCCTGCTGTGCTGTGTTTGTGTGCTAGAGACACTGATTTTTTTCACAAGTGGCGTGAACAGTTGTTTAATACTGAGCCTGGAAAGTGTTTTTCTGTGTGTATTTCTTCTATGTATCCAAGGTAGCTCTACTAATTATATGTCACGTTTGAACAGAAAGCAATAGATGTGACTGTTACGTGATCCCAGGATAGACAAGTAAGAGAAGTCCAGACATATGTCAGCTCTGCCTCCAGGGGACACGGTGTCAGAGCTAGGCTTGGCAGGCTGGCTGTCTTCTCGGCAGTCCACGTCGTGCAGGCCGTTACACCCGGATAGAAGGCCCAGAGCATTCGGGCCACTACTGTAGAATTCCCGACCGCGCAGCCCCGGCTTCTCTAGCTCTGCAGTCGCGTCTGTGTCGTGCTGGTAACACTTGTGATTTTGTGTGCAGGCCCGTGTGCTCGCAGTGCTGCAAAAAGGTAAGCAGGCCCCCACACTCCCCCTTGTGTCGAATTCAGAGACTCGGCCTCCAGCCGCGCTGCTCATTCTGTTTTATTTGGGTAACAGATGCGGCTGCCCTCCAAGCCATACTCCACCCTTCCCATCTTTTCACTGGGACCTTCAGCCTTGCGAAGAGGGGAAAGTTGTGTGAGGCCAGAGAAGCCCCCTGCTGGCCACCATCGGCCACTTCAGAGCATTGCCAGGTGGGCAGGGCCTGGGTCTCCTGAACATCCTTTGTGGAGGAGGACTGTGGTGATGTGGTGGGGTTTTGGCTGGAAGGGGTTTGGGTGGGGTGGGTGGGTTGGCTCCTCGGTTTTAACGTAGCTTTGACTTGCACACAGATCTCCAAACTTGCCAGAGGTAGCGTGCTAAGGAATAATGGCTAGGTCCTTGAAAGATACTTAATGTCATAGTTAGACTTTTTTTCTACTTTGGAAATAATTACTTCAATATATCCTTTAAAAGTCATCTTTAAAACTGACCTTGTTTCCAGTGGAGTTGAAAACTTTAACGTTAACAGTCTGATCTTTCTTTCCTTCTTTAGTTCAAAAAGAGAATCTGTTTAATCCTGTGTGTGTAGTAGTCTGCAGACGCTGCCGCTTACTTTACTACCGCAGAGGCGGAAATAAAGCTGTGTGCCAGGAGCTGGCAATTTAAATAAAGCAGGTGCCTGAGTATCAATCACTTTGCGTTCAGTGCAGAGTCAGGCTAGTGTTGGTCCTTCAGGAAGACAGGGAGGGGTCAGGCCAGCTCAAGCCACACGCTGGCAGGGCCGAGAGGGCTGGGGTTTTATGCACTGGCCCCCCTCTCCCCGTTCTGGGAGGGACACTGGCCTTGGTGCCAAATGCCGGACAGTGGCCACTGCTGCGTGTCAAGGCCCGTGGGCAGTGAGGCAGGGAAGCCGTGAGCCCAACAAGAAACTCATGCCCCTGGGCCCAGACTCCGCTGGGACGTTGCTGCCCCAGCAGGACCTGACCGCGGCTGTGTCCCTGGGCTCAGGGCCCGCAGGTCTGACGTTCTCTGCTGTACTTACTCTGAACGTACGTTCCTGTTTGGTTTCATTAAAATAGGAAATGGATAGATGATTCCTAGTTATTTCCAAAAGTTACCAAAACACTTGCTGTGATGTTGGTCTAGTTAACTCCAGCTCTGGGGAATCCAAATAGCCAGCCACCCAGATACAGAGAATCATTGTGAAGGGGTGGCTTTGATAAATGCAAAAATGACAAGAAAGCTGATCCAAAGATAATTTTTCCAGGTGTGTCATAGGATCAGGATAAACTTACTTCAGGTTCCTGTAGTCTGACCTGCCATCTACAGCTGTGTTCAGTAGCCATGACACAGCGTCGTGGAGGAAGAATGCGAAGGTCTGCCTGCATCATCAGCAGGCTGCTGGCAGCACGCACTTAACTTCATTTCAGCCATTAGCGTTCAGGATCTCTATGTGCATAGTAATCAGGTGAATGAGTATCTGATTTCCAAAAATTCTAGATGGGTGCTAAGTTTTTAGTAGTAGTATTTCTTAATAAAACATGTTTCTTGGTTTTTTTAAACTATTTTAAACATTGTTGCCAATTAGAGCTTCCTCTTTAGAGGAGCATAACATGACTAAATCACTGGCTCATTCCATAATGATTTGGCAACAAGTTTACTTTTTCTGCACGTATTTTCTTAGTATTACGGTAGAACTGTAAGTGACAATACTAGATGTTTGAAATGTTTGGTTTCTTTTTTCCAGATTGTCCTCAAAATCCAAGTCTGTAGACAAATCAGATGAAGAACTACAGTTTCCCAAAGAGCTCACGGAGGACTGGAGCGCTATGGAGGTGTGTGTGGACTGCAGAAAGTTCATTTCAGAGATCATCAGCTCCAGCCGGCACAGCCTGGTGTTGGCCAACAAAAGAGCCCGATTGAAAAGGAAAACCCAGTCTTTCTATCTGTCCTCAGCAGGCGCCTCAGAGTACTGCCCGTCCGAGAGAACCATCAGTGAGATCTGAGCCGCGCGCCGTTCGGTGGCTGTGTGTTCAGAGGCGAGGTGCGCGCGGGAGGACGCTGAGCTGGCTGTCTCTGCTTGCCGTGGTCTTAGTTAGTGGGCTTGAGTTTGCCTAGGTCAGGTCTTTGCTGCATGACACCGTTCCGCAGACTGAACACTGTGTTCATACTGAGGACACGCGGCAGGCCAGCCGTTTGCTCGTCTGTGCTGGGGGAGGACAGTAGTTTGAAACTTGCTTTTGCGTGCGTGTTGGTTTGGAGGTCGAAACTTTTTCCTTTGTTCAGTTCTTTACTGTTCCTCAGATAATTTTCTGACTGAGGCAGAAAGCTTCTTGTGTGAGATACCAGTCTAACACAGGCGTCGATGTCAGCACAGCTCTGAGCAGTAAGTCACAGTGGCATTTCCACCCTACAGTGTTCCCACCTCGTGTACAGTGATCTGGGCCCCGGAGGCTGGGCCCAGCGGCTGCTGTTCACAGTGCAAAACCTGCAAGGGTTTGCGCATGCCCTCAAACTGATGTTAAATTATTATTGCTCCGAGATAAAGACTGGGGGGGGACCTTAACGCCTGCACGCCAGTACAGACACCTGACCGAGCTGCCCCCCCGGTGGGTGACCACCACCTCCGCACAGCCGTGTTTGCCCCAGTGCAGCCGAGCAGTGTCTCCCGAGGTGTTTTTGTTGCTTACCTTGAATGTATTATGGTTACTAGTAGTTTTATAATGGAGGACGAAGAATTAAAGTTTTGTGGAGTTTTGGGGTAAAGGGAGGCTAGAAGTTTGTCCAGAAGCTGAGTTTTTCGGCTGACTGTGGAAAAGGCTGCCCACTGCGGGGAGTGAGCCAGAGTTCCCATGTTTCCAAGCACGGTTTTCATAACTTTATAGTCTCGCTATCACAACTAACTTAAGCCACAATTTGGTACCTAAGGTCTCAAGCTGGAATTTATTTATTTTTATAAATGAATTTTAAAAGAAAAACTATTGTCTAGTTCTTTTAAAATTACAAGAAAATTAACCTGCATGTGATAGGCTTTTTGGATGCTTTTTGCACACGTTTCCCTTGAAAGCAACTCGAATGAGTGGGATGGGCTTTGCTGCGGGTAGTTTGGAGGGCAGCGTCGTCACCTGCAACTTCCCAGTTCCCTTGGCCCGTTGCGTGGGCGGTCTTGTATCACTTCATGTGCTTGGCAGTGAGCAGCCAGTCCAGCTGCCACTCGTGCTGGGACGGCCAGCTAATGCCCGCGCACGGCGGTGTCCTAAATCCCCGGGCACATCTATAGCCGCAGGACGGCGGCCCCTCTTCATGCCACACCGAGACATAGTGACATTTCTGCAGTAAATTCACAGTAATACCTCAAAACTGCTCCGGTAGTGGTTGTAGTGATTGAGATTTATAAATCAGTAACTGGCTTAAAATTACTTATACTGATAAAATAAACTTTACCAACTGACTGAAGTACTCCACGTTAACAGTTTGTATTCGCACATGGAAGTGGGCCGCAGGGAGCCCTTACCGATTATGGAGATGTTTGCATTGTTTTCAAGACTCTTCTTTGAGAGCTTTAAACATTACATTGAGTGAATCTCATTTATAAAATTTTGAGAGGGACGATTTGAACCCTAGGCCCCAGGTGGTTTGGCAGGAGCCACACGCTTCGAAGGCCCCGGCTGAGCCTCTGAACCAGCTGCCAGGAGGGGAGCGGGGGAAAGGAGCTGGTGTGTGCACACGTGCACAGACCTGGCCCCAGAAAGCGGGCTTTTTAAAATAATGACTAGCTTACAGTTGTTGTTAAAACACACGCAACTGAACTCCTGAATGAGAATTCTGTCCACATTCACGAGGCAAATAGTCTTCGCCACCCCTTCCTCGGGTCTGTGATGTAGGGTAGCCAGTTGGGTGTCAGGAGCACCTCTCACCAGAGCCCTGGAAGGTGAATCCTTTCGGCAGCGCTGACGGGTTTGCCAAGTGCACTGGGGAGTTTGGGTGGTAGGTCTCCTTGGGACGGTCTGCAGAAAATGGAGGAGAAAAGGGCACAGAACACAGCTGCTCTTGTGGACAGCAGGTCAGCATCACTTTCCGCTGCCAAAACAAATCCCTGCTCTGGGCCCTCCCTTCTCGGTGGCATGTCCCCAGCCCCGCAGCCAGATGAGGCACTTCCCAGAGGGTTGTCGATGGCAGCTTGTGGAGCGTGCTTACAGTCCTCAGCCTCGTGCGGTGATACCTTCGCAGCGTTCCTTTGTCCTGGTGTCCGCATGTACTTCTGGTCTGACAGCAACAAAAATGTCGTTGGCTGGCTGGTCTCGGTGGGAGCCCGGCGCACCCTGAAGTCCCTCCTGCGCGCACTCTGCCCTCCCACCCTCACTCCCTCTCAGCCTGTACCTCACGGACTCACCCTGCCGGGAGATCCCCGTTTCCTTTCTCACAGCTTAACTTTCTATCAGTGTCAGAACAGATGAGAATGTTTGTAAATACTGTAATATATTTATTAATACTTGAAAGGCATTCATTCAGTGGACAGTGAGAATTAACTCTCCCAAGGCAAGTAAAGTTTAAATCAAGTAACTGATGTTTACATCAACTTAGCAGTTTTATTAGATTTCAAGTCTTAATTAAGCCTTTGAAATTAAACCAGAAAGTTGTTACGCAGGAGTTTTTAAATGATCTTACGTTTCATGAAATCCCATAAACTTACATGCTCATACCATGTGATTTGCACCATGAACTCATACCATGAAGTTTTTAAGGCTTTCATTTTTCTAACTGTGTTAATAAATGTAGGACTGGAGTTCAGGTGTCACAGAGGAAGCCTGACAAGTTTCAGTGGTGTTGCTATTTGTTGAAGCAAAGTAGCAGACAGCTTTGCACAGGAGAACTGTTGAGGGCCTGTTTGTGGGGAATGTGTGTACTCTGACCTGGTTTCCTGTGTGTACGAAAGGCAAGGTGTTGCTGGCCTTCAGCATGACGTAACCGTACTAGACCTTCTCCATTAGAGTCTTTTATTTTAAAATCGAGGGGAAAATAAATGACTTTCCATCATGCCTTCTGTGTGGAGTTCCTGCTGTAAAATGATGCTGCCTTTTGGTGACTAGCCTTAGAAACCACCTGGATAGGGAAGACAAGGTACATTTATGTAACATCTGCAGTTTTTGGTCCGTTTGGGAAGTGGAGTCAGCAGGGACCACACTGGGAGCACAGACAAAAGTGAAGCCACCACCGTAATTGCTGTCACCACGCGGCCTGCCTCACCTCACCTCAGCCGGGTGGGAGCCAACATCTGTGAACAGTGTGTAAGTTTCTCGTGGAAGAAGTCACATCTGTGGAGACAGATTACATGTAGAAAGATAAAGCTTTTATTCCTTTTTTTCTGAATAGAATTCCTCAAAGGATATATTCCTAAAATGTCCCACGAAAGAAAACTTCTTGTTACAGCTCTCAAAGCCTTGAGAAAAAATGAGGACGAGCAAGCCCAGCATGAGTTTAGGAAAGTTCTTACATTTTTACGTTGACTAAATGGAGAGCATCTTTGGCCCTTCACAGTTCTTACACATTACGTGATACTGAGTTTGTTATGAATTCATTAACACAACCCACTTCCTTATTTGCTAAATATATTCTAGGATGATCTTCTGCTGAAGTTTCTCTGTGAGCGTGTGTTACGAGAGATCAGCTCATAATCCAAACGTTCACCAACTTTCTGTGTCCAGGTCAGAGCCTTGCCCCACCTCCTGGATTCCAGGCTTGGAAGCTGGATACCAGGAAGGGGAGAGCTCTGGGTAGCCCTGACTTAACCGTGTCTGTCTTTTTCTTTGCCAGCTCCTGTTGAGGAAAAGCTGTCCTAGCACGCGTCGTCAGAGTCTAGCGTTTCACAGGGAAAACTTGCAGGAAAGGGCTCCGTTGCACACACGACGTGTTTCACGGCTCCATTCTCTCTGCAGAGTGCGTGTGTGCATGCACACGCGCGCACGCAGACTCACTGGAGTGCTCCTCCCCGCGTGGCAGCCTAACCCCCATGTCTAGAGACAGCTCCCTTTGCCCATCCAAAAAAATGTAAGAGCTCAGAACCTGCTTAATGTAAAACGCTGCTTGCACTGATTGAATGCTCAGGTGCAGTTACTGGCGGACTGAATTCCCAGTGCTGTTCTGGCTTGTCTGTTAAAGTGTGTGATGTATTTAGATTCGACTTTACTGTGCCAAGCCTCCTGCAGCTTTGTTTCTGCTCTTGGACTTTGATGCTGGTGGCAAAACCTGGGCCACTTCCAGATTACTGAAGGCTTCAGGCCTGACAGGACACAGTTCTTTAACAGTGGGCTCTAGAAAACTGGGCCATTGAGAAGTTCACTTATGTCCTTGGGACTTAAAAACTGAGGGGTGGCCTGGATGTTGGACACAACCCTGGGGGCCTGCCACTGGCTCCTCTACTAGGACTGCTGTCAGAGCAACTGGATGGCAGTTTCTCCCATTTTAGAGCAAGGGTGCTGGACGAGGTGGTCCCAAGGTCACCTGTAATCAGGAGAGAGGGACAGCACACTGGATCCAGCCACCAGGCCTGCAGACACTCAGCAATGACCGAGGGAGAGCCTGAGCCGGCTGCAGTGCGAGATGGAGGAAACACCTTTGCGCGTCGAGCCAGCCCTTCGACTGAGGAGAAGTGTGAAATGACTGGTGAGTCACTATTAGACAGTATCTCTGCTGATGACAAACCCAATTATGTATATTACATGAATGCAAGGAACAGTGCGAAACATGCTGCATTTATTTGAGACCTGGGGAGGCAAAGGCAAGTTCAGTTTTACTAATTGCTGTGGAAACTGAGTCCATCTCCCAAAATTTAAAAGAAAACACAAAGAGCAAAAACCAAACCAACCCCTTTGCACCAGCCATTTAGTGTTACTGGCGGTTCACCTCTCAGCCCTGTGCCTCGGTGCGTCTGCCCCACGGTGTGCCGTGTGCTCCTCTGGGAGGTGTGAAGAGCAGCAAGGAGCTGGCAGCGACTTCACATAACAGACTGTTTTAATTGCATTAAATGGAAGCAGAAGTACAGACAACACTGCCTTCAGCTCAATCAGAGAAGTAATTACACCGTCCTGGGGGTCCCATATATACACCTCCCCTGTGTAGTAACGGGGCCCCTGGCTAAGGAGCTTGTCTCTTTCCCCCTCTGTCCTGGAGACCCCATCCCTCTGAGCCCCTCCCCACCAAGTCTGATCTCTCCTGTTGGCTCTCGGAGCTCAAAGTGACCCAAGGAGACATGCAGTCCACCTTCCGGCCAACGGCAGGCTCTCAGCCCTGGCTCAACATCTCCGGAGCAGGCAGCTCCTTACTCTCTGCCAAGTTCCATCACTGAGCAGAGCCAGCAGTTGGGAAGTTCAGCCCTCGTTCAATCCCCTCCCATCGCTTAACTCCCTGGTTCTGCCTCGTGTGGCTCCACAGAATGAACCTCCCCTTCCGAGTGGCCGCTGTAAACAGTCCGCCATTCCTGAGTCTGCAGAACTGCTGCTCCTCCTCCACTGCACTTACGTCGTCAACCTGTCCGAGCTCTTCACTGCCCAGATGTGGAAAACTGCCTGCTACGCAGCTGGTGCTCAGTAGGTACTTGTGGGGCGAATTAATGAATGAGTAGGTTCAGTATGGAAATAAGTGAGGAATACACAGATGGAACCATCACTATGCCTTCAAAACAAACTGACGTGGTGCGTGGTCTGTGCTCTTTAACACGTAAGTGCCACCATGTACAGCCCTGTGCTGTTCCTCCAAGTCAGCAAGTCACTGCAGCCCTAACGCGGCAGTTAAAGCAGCCCACGCAAACCCTGCCGCCGCTCTTGTGAACGGCCATCTCCAGGTGGCATCCAGAGCCCCGGGGTGGAGCCGCCGCGCACAGCTCTGCCTCCCTGGCCCCACTTTGCCCACCTACAGGCTGGCGGGCAGGGGTCAGAGGCCTGGAGGCCTGCGGCAAGCTGCTGCGTAAATGCACAGCGCGCCTCTCGCAGCCGGGAGTTTGTGCTCTTTACGTTGCACCACTTGCCCCTCTTATAGTAGGATACTTGACTCTCACTAGTCACCATAATGTTTTGATAAAAACTTACGTGCCAACGGGCTGAAATTTAAAATATTAAACTGTTTAAATTTGTTGTATTGAAACAGTTTGGCCAAGAAAAGAGTAAGGGGAGAGGTAAAGGTAAGCTACGTGTATGAGTTATTTTGTGCTGTGTTACTGCCAGTACATGCAAGTATTTTGCTGGTTTTCAGTAGCTAACAGTGGCTGCCAGTTACTGCGCACGTCCGCAGACCACAGCGGGGTTCGTTCCCCTGACGCACAGTAATCAGTCTGCTGACCGCCGGTTGTGGTGAAGGAAAGCCCAGCATTTACTGCAAGGCGCCCAGCCTGGGGCCAGGCAAGGAGAACGGGCAGCTCACGATCAAAAGCCTGTGGCTTTCGGGCACGGGGTTTTAACAGCAGGGGTGGGGAAGGGGCTGCAGGGGCTGATCAGCTAGTGGACCTCCTTCTGCTGATGGTGTGGTGAGGTCAGCGGGAGTCAGCGTCATCCACCTTCTGGCTCCAGACACTCGGGGGTCAGCGTGCAGCCAGCGTCTCCGCCCGGCTGGGGTTTCAGCACCTGCAAAACAACTTGGGGATGTGGCTCGGGGTGCATGCGCTCCGTAGCCCTGAAGTGGAACCAGGGCCCTGATTTTGTTACATGGCTAAACTATTATTACTTATTTTCCTCTGTGTTTGCATTTTTTCTTTCTCTGATTAATTTGCTCATTGGAACTTGGGTAAAAAGCCTAGGAGGCTAACACTTTTCTACAAACCAGAGCCGAGGAGCACGGGGGCTCCATTCCCAGGAAAGCCCCGCAGGGTCCTGCTTGGTTTAAGTCCCCTTTTCTTCAACAGTCCTCAGTCCTGAGGGGAGTGGGGGTGAAGGCTGCTCTGACTGCTTCCCACTGGATGGGGGCAAAGCCAGAGTTTCAGGATCAGAGGAGAGAAGGTCATTGAGTTTCTTATTTTTCAGTGAACTATATGGTTGATTCATGTTTCAGGTGTACAGCAAAGTGATTCATATATATATATATATATATGTTATATAAGCTGTGTTAGCTGTTTGTATATTTTGGAAATCAATTCTGTGTTGGCAGCACCATTTGCAAATATTTTCGTTTTGTTTATGGATTCCTTTGCTGTGCAAAAGCTTAAGGTTAATTAGGTGCCATTTGTTCATTTTTCTTTTATTTCCATTACTGAAGGAGATGGACCCCCCCCCAGATATACTGCAGTTAATGTAAGAGTGTTCTGCTTATGTTTTCCTCTAGGAGTTTCTTTTTTAATTATTGGAGTGTAGTTGATTTACAATGTTGTATTAGTTTCTGGGGTACAGCATAGTGGTTCAGTGATACGTGTATCTCTCCAATTTTGTCTGTATGTCCTTTCATATCCTTTTTGACTACAGGTTACTACAAGCTGTTGAGTATAGTTCTCGTGCTCTACAATAGGTCCTGGTTTATTCTGTGTATAGTAGTTTCCGTCTGCTAATCCAGACTCCTTATTTGTCCCTCTTCCCCGTCCCTTTTGGGGGACTGTTTTCTGTGTTTGCGAGTCTGTCTGTTTTGTAAGTTCATCTGTCTCAGTCCCAGACCCCACTGCATCACGCTGTTTTAGGTCTTCTGCCCATTCTTTTTAATTGGGTTGTTTGTTGTGTGGTTCGTCCCGCCCCTCCCTTCAGGAGAGTGTGTTCCCAGTGGGGCTTTTTATGGCAGCCCCAGGCTCACTGCACACACGCCAGGTTCTGCCCGTACCCGAGGCTGTCCCACGCAGGCAGCCGCAGTCCCCTCCCTGGGCCTGTCCTCTGAACCCGAGCTTCAGCAGCCGGTCTCGGCGCACGCCCGCAAGCTCCCGTCTGGGGCTGGGGCCGCGCAGACCCTTGACGGCTTCTCTCTGCTCTGCCTCCCCTTGTGTCCAGCTGATCTCCCCACGGGTGAAGGGGCTGCCCAGGGTGGGGGCGCTTTTATTCCTTCACTGCTGCCCCCAGGCACAGCTCCCATCCCGGTGGTGGTGGTTTCTTCCTATCCAAGTATGAGGAGACGTCTTGTAGCTCCGCTTGTGTAAGGTCTTCTGCCGTTGTTCAGTAGTCATTCTGCGAGAATGAGTCCACGTGTAGAGAACTAGTCCACAGACGTACATTTTTGATGTTATTCGTGGGAGGGGTGAGCACTGCACCCTCCTGTTCCACCACTTGAGCCCCCTCCTCCCCTGGGAGGTTCATGGTGTCTGGGCTCACACTTCGGTCTCTAATCCCTTCTCAGTTATGTTTGTGTGCGGCGTCAGAGAGTGTTCTAATTTCGTCCTTTCACAGGTGGCTGCCCAGTCTTCCCAGGTCCACTGGTTGAAGAGACTCTTTTCTCTCTTGTGTATTTTCGCCTCCTTTGTCATAGATGAATCGACTGTAAGTGCCTGGGTTTATTTCCGGACTGTCTGTTTGTTGATCTGTGTGTCTGTTGTGCCAGCCCCAGACTGCTGTGATTGCTGTAGCTTTGTGGTGTGGTCTGAGGTCGGGGAACGTGATGCCTCCAGCTCCCTTCTTCTTCCTCTAGATTGTTTTGGGTATTTGAAAATTTGTTTCTGTACAAATTTGAAAAGCTTCTGTTCTGCTTCTGTGAAAAAGGCCTTTGGTATTTTGATAGGGGTTGCACTGAATCTGAAATTGCCTCTGTAGTATGTTGGTCCTTTTTTTAAAAAAAACAGTATTGATTCTTCCAATCTAAGAACATGGTGAGTCTTTCCATCTGTTCGTGTCTCCTCTGACTTCTTTCATCCGTGTATTACAGGTTTTGGAGTGCAGGGCTTTTTGCTTCCTTAGGTAGGTTGATTCCTAGGTGTCTTATTCTTCTTGATGCGATGGTAAAGGGGACTGTTAACCTTATCTCTCTTTTGATATTTAATTGTTAGTGTATAGAAATGCAACAGATTTCTGTGTATTAATTTTGTATCCTGCACCTTTACTGAATTCATTGATTTCAGAGCTCTAGTGGTTGCCTGGTGATGTCTTTAGGGGCTTCTCTGTATCGTGTCATGTCCTTTGCTAGCAGTTTTACTGATTCTTTTACAGTTCGGATTCCTTTTATTTTTCTCCTCTGATTGATTTAACATAGTTTGGGAAGTGGTCAGAGTGGGTATTCTTGTTCAGGATCTTAGAGGAAGTGCTTTTAGCTTTTCACCACGGAGGAGGATGTTAGCTGTGGGTTTGTCATGAAAGGCCTTTATTAGGTAAAGTTATAGTCCCTCTATGCCCACCTTCTGAAGAGTTTTTATCATAAATGAATATTGAATTTTATCAAAAGCCTTTTCTGGTTCTATTGAGATGATCATGTGGTTTTTATTCTTCAGTTTGTTAATGCGATGTATCACATTGATTAGCAGATACTGAGAAGTCCTTGCGTCCCTGGGAAAAATCCCACTTGACCTTTTAGTGTGCTGTTGGAGTCAGTTTGCTAGTATTTTTGTTCAGGATTTTTGCACCTGTGCTCGTGATACTGGCCTGTGATGTTCTGTTTTTGTGATACCTTTGTCTGGTTTTGGTATCGGGGTGACGGTGGCCTCGCAGAGTGAGGCTGGAAGTGCTCCTTCCTCCGCAGTTTTTTGGAATGGCTTCAGGAGGACAGGTGTTAACTCTTCTCTGCACGTTTGGTAGAGTCGACCTGTGAAGCCCCCTGGACCTGGACTTCAGCTTCTTTGGTGAGTGTGGTCAAAGGCTTATCAGTTTTGTTTATTTGCTCAAAGAACCAGCTTTTAGTTCCACTGACCTTTTCCTTCATTTGTTTTTGCCTTGATCTGTGTGTCTTCCCTTCTTCCCTTTCTGGGTTTTGTCCTCTGTCCTGGCTCCTTTAGCTGTGAGGCTGGGCTCTGGCAACTTGAGGTTGTCCATGTCTCCTGTCTTGTTGTGTCCCAGGGGTTTGGATCGTCCTGTTCTCATTTTCACTGCCCCCAGGCCCGGTTACGTCTCCTCTTGGACATCTTCAGCGGTCCACCGGCTGCTCAGCAGCGTGTTGTCCGGTCTCCGTGTCTTTTTGTTTCTTCCAGTTTTCTTCTCGTAGCTGATTTTCAGTTTCTCGGAGTTGTGGTCAGAAAAGATGCTCGGCGTGACTTCACTTATGCTAAATGTACTGATGTTTGCTGCGTGGCCCCACATGCGATCTGCCTTGGACAGTGTTCTGTGTGCACTTGAAAAGAATGTGTATTCTGCTGCTTTCAGGTAGAATGTGCAGTAAATACCAATCAAAGCCATTTGGCCTAATGTGTTATTTAAGGCCTGTGTTTCCTTATTTTTTAAACTTTTTTTTTATTGAGTTATAGTCAGTTTACAATGTTGTGTCAAATTCCAGTGTAGAGCACAGTTTTTCAGTTATACATGAACATATTTATATTCATTGTCGCATTCTTTTTCGCTAGGAGCTGCCACAAGATCTTGTATATATTTCCCTGTGCTACACAGTATAATCTTGTTTATCTATTCTGCACACGCCTGTCAGTATCTACAAATTTTGAACTCCCTGTCTATCCCCCCCACCATGTTTCCTTACTGATTTTCTGTCTGGATGATCTGTGCACTGCTGTAAGTGGGGTGTTAAGGTCCCCACTGTTACCGTTACGGCCAGTTTCTCCCTTTACGTCCGTAACGTGTGCCTTGTGTGTTGAGGTGCTGCCGTGTTGGGAGAGCTGCTTCTTGGGCTGATCCCTTGATCACTGTGTAGTGTCCTTCTTTGTCTCCTGTAACAGTCTCTATTATAAAGCCTGTTTCGTCTGACTGTTGCTACCCTGGCCTTCTGATTTCCATTCTCATGGAATACCTTTTTGCAACCCGCCTCGTTCAGTCTGCATGTCTCTAGATTGGAAGTGAGTCTCCTATGGGTCTTTTTTTTTTTCAGTGTCCCTTCAGCCAATGTGTTTTCTGGTTGGAGCATTTAGTCGGTTCACACTTAAGGTAATTGCTGGTATGTGTTAGTGCCGTTTTGTCGACTGTTCTAGATTTGCATTTGTGGGTTTTCGTTCTCTGCTCCTGTGACCTGATGGCTGTCACCAGTGCTATGTCTGGATTCCTTTTTCTGTCTTTGTGTTTATCTATTACTGATCTTTGCTTTGTGGTTACCATGTGTTTTTTTGTATGGCAGTCTCTCTGTGTATGATTGATTTAAGTTGCTAATCTCTTAATTTCAAATGCATGCTGGACGCCCTGCATTTGTACTCTTCTCAGTTTCTTTTTTAGCTGAAGCACAGCTGGCTTACACTGCTGTAGTCAGTTTCTAGTGCACAGTGTCATGTCTCGGTCATACACATACATACGTGTATTCCTTTTCATTATAAGCTACTACAAGATGTTGAATATAGTTCTCTGTGCTCTACAGTGGAAACTTGCTGTCTATTTTCTATACAGCACTTAGTATCTGCAAATCCCAAACTCCCAATTTATCCCTTACCAACCCCTTCCCTCCCTGGTAGCCGTAAGTTTGTTTGCTGTGTCTGTGAGTCTGTTTCTGTTTTGCAAATAAGCTCATTTTTAGATTCCACATGAGTGGTATCATGTGGTGTTTTTCTTTCTCTGTCTGGCTTACTTATGAGAACGACAGTCTCCAGGTCCATCCACGTTGCTGCATCACATCTGTTTTTGATGCCAGGTTTTACATCGAATTGTTTTGTGTCCCTTACCTGCTTCCCGTGGACACGGACGATGCTAGCACTCGTGTCTTTTTTAACTTCCGTACCGGTGCTGTGCGCTGATTCCTCACCTTCACGTTTGCCTCACCAGCGAGGTTTCCATTCCATCCTTCTCCTGTTTCTAGTCGTGACCTTTTATTTTTCACCTGAAGAAGTCCCTGAACATTTGTTGTAAAGCTGGCGTGACGGTGCTGACCTCTTCTAGCGTTTGCTCGGCTGTGAAGCTTCTGACTTCGCCATCGGCCCTGAACGGGAGCCCTGCTGGGCGAAGTAGGCCTGGTTGCAGGTTTTTCCCTTTCACCACGTGCACTATGTGGTGCAGCTCCCTTCTGGCCTGCAGTTTCTGCTGGAAAAGCAGCTGCCAGCATCCCAGGAGTTCCCTGGCATGTTACTTGTTGCCTTCCTCGTTGCTCTCAGTGTCCTCTGCCTTCAGTTTTCATCACAGTGTCTTGGTGTGCTCCTCTTTGAGTGGATCCTGTGATGGACTCTGCGCTTCCTGGACTTGGGTGACTGTTTCCATCCCTGGGTTACGGAAGGTTTCAGCTATTTGCCATTACCTCTCCAAATACTTCCTCGGGCCCTTTCTCTCTCCCTCCCTCTCCCCTCCTGCTGGGGCCCCTGTAATGCAAGCATTAGAGCACGTGGTGTTGCCCCACACATCCTTTCAACTGTCCCCATTCCCCGCACTCTTCCTTCTCCTCGGCGGCAGTGACTCCCGCCGCTCTGCTCTGCCGCCTCCTTTGTAGTCTGCTGCTTGTGCGCTTCCCTTCTGTTTGGTTGTTCTTTGTGTTTTCCAATTCTTTCTTTCAAATCTGTAAATTCCTCACCTGTGCATTCTTTCTCCTCCCAGGTGTTTTGATCATCTTTATAGTCATTACTCTGAAATCCTTCTTGGGTAGAGCGCCTGTCTCCACCTCACATAGTTCTTCTGTGATCTTTGTCCCCTTTCTCTGAAACATCTTTCTGTCGCCTCATTTTGTCTAAGTTGCAGTTTGCATCTGTGTGTACGTGGTAGGTCAGTCATGTTTCTCAACCTTGGAGAAGTGGCCTCTGTAGGAGGTGTCCTATGTACCTCAGAAGTGCTCTGCTCTCTGGTCGCCCAAGCCATCTGCTCTAGGGGTTCTCCCTGAGGGCTGCATGGGGCCTTGTGTCGTGGGGCGCTGACTCTGGGGACAGGCTGCTAGTGTGTTCGGTCCCTAGTCTGGTTGGTTGCCAGGCCCCGTCTTGTGTGGACGCCCTTGGCTGATGTTTAGCAGGGCCTGGTCACCCTAGGGGTCCCGGGGCTCATGCTGGCTCACTGGTGGGCTGTTGCCCACCCACCAGCAGGTGGAGCCAGATTCCTGGCCAGCGGAGCTGGTTCCTGGAGTCTGGCTGCAGGGCCCAGGCATCCCAGGGCTTGTTTCGGGCGGTTGGGTATGAGCTCCGGGGAGTCCTGGAGGTTGTGCTGACCTGCTAGTGGGCAGGACCAGGCCCAGTCGGCCCCAGGGTAGGGTGTGGCCTGCACTGCAGGGTCAGAGTTTTCTTGCTTCTAGGTTTGCTCCCTGGTGGACCAGACTCATCTAGCGGTTGGTGCAGGCTTCTGGGTTGGCAGGCCCAGTGCCTGTCCCCCCGGGGGGGTGAAGCTGGGTCCTGGCGCTCTGGTGGGCTGGGCTGGGCCTGAGGGAGGGTCCAGAGGCGGCCGTGAGGTCTTTAGTGTCTAGGCAGCCTGTCTGCTGACAGGTGGGGCTCTGTTCCTGCCCCCTTACTTCTTCGGCCTTAAGTGTCCCAGCGTTGGCACTTCCAGGGCGTGGCGTGGGGCCCGGTCTTGGTGCTAACGATCCAAGATGTCAGCCACCAGCCTCAGCAATGTTCTCAAATAGGTCTATCCCCAGGGTGAGCCCCCAACCCCTCTCCAGGAGACTCCAAGACCTTCACACATGTCTGGCCCAGGCTCCCATCAAAATTACTGCTTTTGCCCTGGGTCCCAGTGTGGGCCCTTTCAGAATGAAGTCTGTCTCCCCCGAGCTGGGCTCTACTGGCCTTCAGTGCCACATGCCCTGGGCTCACCTTCCCGGTGCCAGACCCCCAGGCTAGGGAGCCTGACGTGGAGCTCAGAACTCTCACTCCTGCGGGAGAAGCTCTGGGACGTGACTGCTCTCCAGTGTGCGGGTCACCCACCCAGGGGTGTGGGGTTTTATCTTATCACGGTCCGCCCCCTTACCTGTCTCCTTGTGGCTCCTTATGTCTTTAGGTGTAGAAGAGCTTTTCTGGTGAATTCCAGTCTTTTTCATTGATGGTTTTCCTGCAAAGGCTGTGACTTTGCTTTGCTCACGAGAGGGGGTGAGCTGAAGGTCTTTCTACTCCACCATCTTGGCTGCCAAATCTCTCCTTCACTTTAATTGCAAAGAAATCTTGAATCTCAAGCTTAGCCTCAGTATTTTGTATTATGAACCTATTACCTGTTTGATTGCTTTGTCATAGCACCCGGACAAACAGTTGAACATTAGTCATCATGTTAACAGTGAGGATAATGACCGAGGATTTCTAGTCAAGCTGGTGGAGCGGTAGGACCACGAGCTCGCCTCTCCTCACGACTACAACAAAACCACAACTGACTGCTAGACAACCATCAAAAAAGACGAACCTAGCAGAAAAGATCTTCAACTGGAAACATAAAGAGGGAACCACAGCGGGACAGTAGGAGGGACATGCTTGCGGTATAATCAGGCCCCACACCCCCGGGTGGGCGACCCACAAGCTGAACAACAGGCAGGCACCGGCATGCACGTGGAATCTAAAAAAATACAACGAAGTAGTGAATATTACAGAAAAGAAACAGACTCACAGATGTAGAGAAGGGAGGAGTGGTTCCCAGTGGGGAGACGGAAGGGGGAGGGGCAAGATGGAGGGGGAGGAGGAAGAGGGGCAAGATGGAGGGGGAGGAGGAAGAGGTGCAAGCTCTTGGGTATAAAGTAAGCTACAAGGATGTATGCCAGCATGGGGAACGCAGCCAGTATTTCATAACAACTATGAATGGAGTGTAGCCTTTAGAAATTGTGAGTCACTATGTTGTACACCTGTACCATATATTGTACATCAACTATACATCACATAAAAATACTGTATTGTAAAGTAAATACATAAAGTTAAAGAAACAGTGGGGATAATGATCAAAATGCACTCACAGTATTCCCTGAAAGTGTCCTCCTATTCTAGACAGCAATCAGGAAAGGTAAGTTTTGAAGTGGGTCCTCTTTATGTATATTCTGTAACCTAGTGGCCTTTTAAATTATTCTATTTATTTGGGTTTCAGCTTTTCCAGGGGTATTTTATACATAGCAGGGGTTACTGGCCATTACACATCTCTCTCCTTTTTTTTTGCTGAGACCTGAAGCAGCAGTACTGTCTGGTGTGATTCTGGCTAAAGAATCTAGTGCCTTCTGCGGGGCTGCCACGTCTTGAGGTTGTCTCACTTGCCATTACCGTCCCTAACGTGAGGGAGCGGTTTCACAGTTGCAGGAGGAGACCTTGAGCCCCCTCAGGCTGGGGCTGCTGGCAGGCACCGCGTACGGCCAGCGGTGTCCTTGCGTCTGATGTAGCTCAGGGAATTCAGTGACACAGGAGCGTGTCTGAAACCACATCCACAGCGGACAGCCAGCCCCCTCTTAGGTGCCTGAACCACAGTTACTCTTTGTATTTTAAAAAAATGCATTCTATTTAATGGTTAAAGCAGATGTACAATGCATGTCTAATAGGCCATAAGCAGCCTGTTTTGGTTAGTCTAAATTTCCAATTAAATCATGTTTAAGCCAGAATGACCCCATACCTCAATTTTTGCTTGCACATCTTTCTAGAAAGCACAGGTGATCAAAATATTTGTCCCTTAATGGCACGGTGCTTGCTGCCTGCCCCGGGACCACCACGTGCCTCAGTGCTGGGCCTGCTTCTGTATGTACACACACACACACACACACTTGCCCAGTCCCCCACGATGGGGGAAGTAAAGCTCAGAGGCAGATTAATGGGGAAACAGGCTGCGCATTTTTATCACCTGTACTGAATTGTCGCACGAACGCTGTACACGTCCTTCTAGCAGCAGACGCCAGCAGTGATGCATGTCTCGAGTGGTTGTGCTCTGTGACGGCCTTGTTAGAGACTTCTCTTTCCATTTTGATAAGGAGAGAGACATCTGGTAAACAGTTTGTGAGCTCATCAGGGTTTCGATTAGGATTCTTCAATTTTTCACCAGTTCAGCAGTACGACCTGAAAGTTACCCGAAACCTGTGCTTGTCAAAAAATCCCTTCTGTGAATCTTCTTGAAGATGAAGCGTTTTTGCAAAAACAGCAGAGAGAAACAGTAACTGTGAGTGACAGAAGACGTAAGACGGTCTGGTTACAGATCTGATTACAAAGAAACTTAACCAAGTTGCTGTGACAGCATTTTAATGACTAGCATTGACTGATAAAGTAATACCAGGACATATTAAAATTTTAGGAACTGCATATAATTTCTAGGACATTTATCCATACAGTGCAACCTAACAGTGCTCATCACCGCTCACGTGCCGGTGCTTCTCATGTAATGTAACATACCAGAGAGTCCCCGTTAGTTTCTCTCGGAGACACTGTAGGGGCCCTTTGAAACACCCCAGCGTCAGCTACAGAAAGAAACTGATGAAGCATACGATCTGTTACCAAAAGCAGCTCAATATCCCAGGAAAACTTTGTTTTCCTAACAGAGAAAGCCAAACTGCAGTCTTGCATTAGCCTACTTTTGATAACAAAATTTAATTAAATTCAATCTGATCTTAGCCAGTCTTGACCACAAACAAAACTCCTTTCTCAACGTTCCGTTTCCACAAACATTCCGTCATTTTCTGTATCCGTATCCGTTTGTCCCTTATTTTCTTTCCCATCTGGAAAGAAACAGCTCTGGGATGAAATTACTTTTTTCCCTTAACAAAAATATCTCCATTCCTTCATGCCTCCTCCCACCAACAACATGCATCTTTCTTTACAGAGTGACTGCTTCCCTTATTATTTTTAGTACTTTGCTTATGTATGTAACTTGTAACCATTAAAAAACCTTATCCTCTAGCAAAAACCAAGAAGTGCGCAATTGTGAACTGCTCGTTACGCCAGCATTTCCTGAGTGGCAAACTTAATAAACACATTTAGTAACCTTTGAAAACATACATTTTATCACAGCATAAATTCTTTCTTTAATGTGGTACAAGATGTTTGTCTAATAAACCCAAACCTCTTCAGTTTTTCTCCTGTAAGACAAAGGCCGGTGACTTAGACTTGCCCAGGAGTCAGCATCACAGTGCCGGTCTGGACAGTGAACCCTCGCTGTCTGCCCTGACTTGGTAACACGCTGAAGTTTCAAGCTGCCAACCTCTGGAGAAACTAAAACATAATTATCCCTAAAAAGTTCACCTAAAAGCTTCTATCCTGTTTATCTCCAGCTCATTACTGACGAAAAACATAATATGAACTTATTTGGCTTCTGGTAAACCTAGATACAGTAAAAGTATCATACTTACTACTGATGACTCTAAAGACATATCTGTATTAAACCAACAAACGTTAACTTTAATAACATTAATTCTGAATACTCCCCAGATCGTGTGACAGTTTCTGCTGTATTTCTGAGAATTTATAAAGCATTTAATCTCCCTTAAGCAAATATAATAGAGCTCACTTATAAATGCAGTTTTACATATCCACCGAATCACAGCCCTCATAGCTTCACTTTAAATCTCAGTCAGGGGAGAGGGTACAGTTTAGTGGTAGAGTGTGCGCTTAGCAGGCACGGGGTCCTGGGTTCATTCTCGCCATTAAAAAAACAAAACTAATTAGTAAATAGACTTCATTACCTCCCCCCAAAACGAACAGCTTAGTCATGAATCAGACATTATAAATTAATGAGTCTTACAATGTCTGATTCATAAGTAAGTTTTGTTTATTATAAATAACATGGAATAAGTTTAGTTTACGCCCTTGAATTTAAAGTCTCCTTTCCCTTTTTGTCTTTCAGTTTCAGGTTCTATAAAGTAACTGACCCAAGGCTGGAGTCTCAGGCCTTGTGGGCTGTGTCTGCATTCTGAGGACATAAGAGTTATAAGTTCAAGCTTTCTCCTAGAAATACCTTTGTTCTCTCTGGGTCAGAATTTTGAAAAAAAATCTTTTATCTAACTGAGCAATAAAAAGAACCAGTTTTGGAATTTTTCTGCAGAGTCTAAAGAACATTGTGGCCACACTGTCTCAGAAACACAGTCTTCTTTCTCTTCATAGGAGCAGAACTAAAGGTCTGCCAATTCTGCACAATACACCCCAGGGGCCCAGCAGCTGGAACAGGCTCCGGCTCCCTGCTTCCCTTGCATATGGCCGGCGCTACCAGTACCAGACCAGAGCCAGGCAGGCGCTGTCTCACCTGCAGTTTCTTACCTGCCATTCCAGGTGGGCGTCTGACGGAGCTCTCCAGGGACTGCTTGGCCTGTCTGGATGAGCGAGGTCCTCCTGGACCCGGAAGGGAAAATCTTGTTAAAGTGACATCCCACTTAAAACCAGATGACAAGTTTGATGTCTTTCCCGCCAAAAAGGAAAACTCCAATCAGACCAGCCATCAGGGAAGAATACTCCGGGGCAGGCACACGGGAGGGCCCACCACGTACCAGAGTTGCCTCACAGGCCAGGCCGGGCCAGACCAGGGCCAGAGGCTTCCAGTCAGTGGTAAGCACTGGGGCTGCCCCTGAGACGGGGCCCACAGGCAAGATGTCCCCTCGGGGTGGGAGGCCCATCTGGGTCATCAGAGTTGCCCCCGACTAGCTTGGGTCCACTCACCCGATGAGAATAAAGCCAACCCACTGACCTCGGGTTGTGGGGAAGGAAGGTGCAGCATCTACTGCAGGCGCCCACCACAGGCCAACCAAGGAGAATGGGCAGCTATTTCTCAAAATAACCCAACTCCCCAGAGGCTTTCAGACAAGGGTTTTTAAAGGCAGCATTAGGTGTGAAGCTTGCAGAGGGCCTGATCAGCTCGTGGACACCCCTGGATTGTGAGGGGTGACTAACTGGGGGGAGGCCACATCAGCCACCGGATCCAACCCGTCTGGGGTCTACGTGCTGACTGGCGGCACGCGGCCAACTTCACCTGGTGGGGGTTTCACATCTGCAGAAAAGCTCAAGGATGTGGCTTAGGATGTGATCTGTAGCCCCTGCGGAGGAACGAAAGGTCCTTCAATTTATTTTCACGGCTAAACTGTTATTTGCTTGACTGTTTCCCTGTTTCTGCATTTCTCCTTTCTCTGATTAAATCTGCCCTCTGGAACTTGGGGGAGACTAACGCTTTTCTATAAACGAGCGGCGGGGGACAAGGGAGTGGGGCGTCTGCCACCATGAAGGCCCAGCCTGGGCCTGCGGGTGTCAGGCACCCACCGTGCAAAGCACCGTCAGCCACACGGTCTCCTGTGATACTCAGCTATGAAGTAGTGCCATCCAGACCCCCCGTTACAGTGAAGAAGTAGAACAGCAAGGTGATCCCTGCCCAAGGTCAGACCGCAAGCCCAGCAGCACAGCTGAGGACGCCACTGCCTGTGCTGTGCCCGGGACCCTGCTGAGCGCCCACCTGCTTCTCCCCCCGAGGGCTGCGATTCTGAATACAGCCCTCAAGCCACCTGGCGCTCGGGGTCAGGCAGAGCTGTGCACGCAAAGTACACGTCTCGTATTAGCTCATGAAGAACTCTCACTGGCCAAATGCTGATCTCAACAGTTAAAAGAAATAGTCCAAAGCAATATAAATCTCAAGGAATTTACAGTAAGTCACGAGCTGGTGTCAGTGAAGAACACCTTCAAGGAACCGGATTTCAGCGTGGGAGCCCAGCATTCCCCAGAGTGCAGCCTGACGCCACTTGCGTCAGGCTCGGCTGGACCAGGCCGAGGCCTCGGTTCTGACTTCCTCCAAAAACTAATGAGGAGCCTCGCTAGCTCTTTAATCAAGGGGATTTACGACAGGATTTTTTTTTTTTTGAGTAATTGGACAGTAAGTGGAGCAGAAAGAAAGGAGACCGGTTCAGAGGTGCCTGGAGTTAGCACATGGGGGAGTATCAGCTCATAACAGCAGTATCAGTAACCGTGCCCTGCCTTGCGAGCTCCCGGGCGTCAGGAGGTCGGGAGCGCCGTCGCTGGGCGGGTCTGGTTCTGGCCTGGGTCTTTGCTGTGGTGGCGTCAGTTGGAGGCCTCACTGGGACCGGAGGCTCAACTTCCAAGACAGGGCAGCCAGCTGGCCCCCAAGCAGGTCTCCCTGACAGCCTGGGAAGTCACGCCCCGCACGGGCTGTCCCGCTCGGTGGAGGAGGACGTGTGCGGTGTGGGGGCCGCGTCAGTAAGCGCCTGAAACAGACTGAGGTGGTGGGAGTGAGGAGACACAGGATTGACCTTGAGACCCTTTAGAGCAAGACTCGGCTTCCAAATGGCTGCAGTGACAGGGAGGGGATAGAAGTCTCAAATAACTGAGATTCCGTATGTGGGAAATGGAAGTGGCACCAGTGAGAAATGGCGGGGGTAGTACGTCAGTGGAAAGACACACTGGGATTTTTAAGAAGGGGGCTGGCTTTATGGAAACTTCTCCTGTGAAGGGCCAGCCACTAAGTATTTCTCCGGCCTCTAACTGTCTCTGGTGCAGACTTGTCTGCGCGGAGGGGTTTACTGACAACTCTTTTAAAAATGGAGAAGCTAATCCCAGCTCACAGGTTTTAGTTGCCAACTCCTGCCCGAAGGAACTTCTCTGCACAGCGCGAAACACAAGCACAGATCCCAGGGAGGAATCTAGCCCAGAAAGCCCCTCGGCACCGCGCGGGGTGCGCTCACTCCCCCACCGCCTGCCTTTTCCCTGTGAACTCTCACCAGCCATTGTAACCATTAAAGCCCCAACTAGGAAATAAGTAAAATAGAGATTTAAAAAAAATAAACCAAGAGCTGTTTTTTTGAGCAAGTAAACAAAATGGACAAACCTCTGGCCAGGCTCGCCAAGAAGAAAAGAGAGAAGACACAGATCAATAAAGTAAGAAGTGAAAATGGAAAAATTACAACCAACACCACAGAAACACAAAAAACCCTGAGAATGCCATGAACAACTATAGCAATAAATGGGACGACTTACAAGAAATGGACACGTTTCTAGAAACACACAGTCCACCGAAACCAAATCAAGAAGAAATAAGATCACTTGAACAGTCCAGTCACTAGAAGTGAAATAGAATCAGCAAGAAAAAGCCTCCCTGCAAACAACAGTCCGGGACCAGATGGCTTCCCTAGGGAATTCTACCCACCATGCAGAGAACTAGTGCCAGTCCTTCTCAAGCTCTCCCAGAGGACTGAAGGGGAGGGCACACTCCCAGACTCACTCTATGAAGCCACCGTCACCCTGACGCCAAATGCCAAAGGCTCCACCCAGAAAGGAAACCACATCTGCGATGAGCACGGATGCAGACGCCCTCAACAGCCTCAGCAGCACCAGTAGCACAGAAAGGGCACACAGCACAGTCAGGCCGGGCCCCTCCCAGGGGCACAAGGACGGCTCACCACACGCAAATCAGTCAGTGTGGTACGTCGCATCCGCAAGACCCAGCACGAGAATCACACGATCATCTCAATACCTGCAGAGCGTCTGATAAAATTAGGCACCCACTCGTGATGTAAAAAAAAAACGCTCACCAAAGTGGGCATAGCGGGATCATATCTCAACATAACAGAAGCTACTTATGACAAACCTACGGCCAGCACAGTGCTCCACGATGAAAGCCGAAAGCCTTCCTGCTGAAATTGGAACAGGACCAGGATGCCCACTGCCACCACTTGTATCCAGTACAGGACTGGACGTCCCAGCCACAGCAGTCAGACCAGAAAAAGACATAAAAAGCATCCAAATTGAAAGAGAAGAGGTAAAACTGTCACTACATGAAGATGACGTGATCCTATATATAGAAAACCCCAGAGGTGCCACACAAAAGCCACTAGCGCTGGTAAAAAATTTGGCAAGGTAGCAGGACACAAGAGTCACGTGCAGAAATCACTCGCATTTCTTGACAATGACAACTGAATGAGCAGGAAAAGAAAGTAAAGAAACAATATCTTTTAAAATCACATCCAAAACAGCAAAATACTCAGGAATAAATGTGAACCAGGAGGTGAAAGACTTATACATGGAGAACTACAAAACACTGGTTAAGGAAATTATAGATGACTCAGAAATGGAGACAGCCCATGCTCTTGGATTGGAAGAATCAATATCATTAAAATGGCCGTATCCCAAGGCAATCTACAGATTCAGTGCGATCCCCTAGCAAATCACCCAGGTCATTGTTCACAGGACTAGAACCAACAATCCTAAAATTTATATGGAAACACGAAAGACCCAGAACGGCCAAAGCAATACTGAAGAAAAAGAACAAAGCTGGAGGAGTAACCCTCCCAGACTTCAGACAGTGCTACAGAGCTACAGTCATCAAGACAGGGTGGCACTGGCATAAAACAGACATAATGGGGTCAGTGGGACAGGATACAGCACCCAGAAATAAACCCACAGACCTCTGGTCAGTTAACCTTCAACAAAGGTGGCAAGAAGATACAGTGGAGAAAAGACAGTCTCTTCAGCACGTGGTGCTGGGAAAACTGGACAGCAGCATGTAAGTCAGAGAAGCTAGAACACTCCCTCACTCCATACACAAAAATAAACTCAGAATAGCTTTAAGACTTAAATATGAGACAAGACATAAGAAATCTCCTAGAAGAAAACAGAGGCAAAACATTCTTTGATGTAAATCTTAGCCCTGTTCTCCTAGGGCTGTCTACCCAGGCAATAGAAATAAAAGCAAAAATAAACAAATGGGACCTGATTAAACTGTTAAGCTTCTGCACAGCGAAGGAAACCATAAGCAAAACAAAAAGACAACCTACAGAATGGGAGAAAATTTTTGCAAATGAAATGACTGACAAAGGCTTAATTTCCAGAATATATAAAGAGCTCACAAAACTTGAAAGAAAAACAAGCAACCCAATCCAAAAATGGGCAGAAGACCGAAACAAGCAATTCTCGAATGAAGACATACGAATGGCTAATAGGCACATGAAAAAGATGTTCAATGTCACTTATTATCAGAGAAATGCAAATCAAAACTACAATGAAGTATCACCTCACAGCAGCCAGAATGGCCATCGTTAAAATGTCCACAAATGACAAATGCTGGGG